GTACAGAAGATCAAAATGAATGAAGAAAGCAAAGAGGATAGTGACTGGTCAAAGAGGTCTAGCAGGGCAGCATCACAAGTAGTCACAAGGGAGACTTCCCTGGTGGCGCAGCGGATGAGTCCATCTGCCAGCGCGAGGGGCAGCTGCTGGACCCCCGGTTCAGGCAAACGCCACACGACGTCCAGCAACCAAGCGCACGTGCCCCAGCTCCAGAGCCCGAGCGCTGCCAGCTACTGACGCCTGTGCGCGCAGACCTGCGCTCCACCACAAAGAGAAGCCGGAGCACCGAAGAGGAGCCCCTGCTCCCAGCTAGAGAACGCCATGTGCAACAACAGAGACCCAGCTCAACCGAAAATCAGTTAACTTTTCAAAAACTAAAAAAAGAAACAGCAGTCATGAAGGTGCTGGTAGACTCAATGAAATGAAATGGAAACGGGCCAAGGACCAGAGAAACTAAGGGGCCGAAAAGCTGGCTCTCTGGGCTTGTGGAAGCAAAGAAGGCAACCGAGCAAGGAAGCTAAAACAAGTGATGGGGAGCTCTGTCGTGGTGGTGGTCTGTGAGGCAGGATATGTAGTAGGTCCAGACTGCAGTGGTTCTGATGTGTAGCTGGCTTGAAAATTCAAAGGAAAATCAATAATCTCACGTTGAGGAATTATAAAAGTATTGCAGGGACTTCCCTGTTGGTCTAGGGGTTAAAAGTCTGCCTTGCAATGCAGAGGACACAGGTTCAATCCCTGGTAGGGGAACTAAGTCTGCGTGACCCAAAGGAAGATTTCACATGACACAACAAAAACCCCCTGTGTGGATGCAGCCAAAGAAATAATACATATGCATCCTTAAGTATCCCATAGATGCTGAGTGGAGACACTGAGAAACAGAATGAAACGATATGATACGTCTTGTCCTTGTGGGCAGCGGACGTTGGCCCTGAAGTTTTAGAGAAAATGCCACAATTACATAGCAACATCTTCCAGAATTACAGTGACAGTCGTAGATCAATGACCTGGAAGCAGCAAGGGAAAGCAAAAAAGCAGTGTGACTCCTCCTCTTCTACACAGTCACATGAGAACAGAAGACACCTCTTGGGAGGGTAAGGTGAGATGTCATATCTGAATTTTCATTAAGTCAGTTTAAAGAAAACAGTAAGTAGAAATGTACTGCACAATGAGTAATATTTTCAAAGCACACATCAAAAGAGGCAAATTGAAGAAGTACCTACTATGTAGAGAGCAAGAGAAGTTGTACCACTTTGAAAGGTGATGCTGCAGAGAAGTAGCAGAGACTTGGGTTGTCATTAGATACCATATTAGAGGTGGGTTGGGAAGTAACATGGAAAACAAGAAAAACAAGAGGCATAAAAGGTATATTTTAAAACAGACTGCATGTACCAAAGTACACACACACACTCACTTCTATAGAATACAAATACACAATGGACTACAAAAAACAGTAACTCCTTGCCTTGCACAGCATTTTATAAATCGCTTTCACATACACTATCTTATTCGACTGTCACTGAATAGATACGCACATTTTTCCTAAAGATGAGGAAATTAGAATGGGGCACAACCAAAATGAAAATCTTGATTCCCAGTTTTCAACGTATCAACCTCACATACACAGCAGACACTTCAGCATCTCAATCAGCCAGGTTGGAAAATCTTCTCTGATCAGAAGAAATAGTGGGTTCTATAAACTTGTCAGAGGACTTCAGAGGCCACTAGACCCCTTCTCGTTTACCTTCTACCACCTCAGATCCCTCAACTCTTATCACCATCACCAGAGAAGGTACCGAAGGGTGACGGGTGGTGTCATCAAGGAGAGAACTCCAGCTGAAAGTTGTATTAGGTTCCTCTTCCCCTCACACCTCTGGACCTCAGTGACCCAACAACTAAGATGAGGAAGAGGGGGAAAAGAACTACGTAGCAATAAGGAGGTCTCCAACAGATACATCTTCGGTAAACAGTATTTAAACGGGGCTCCGGTAGGGTAGAAAGCAGGTACACTGAGAAATGGGGGAGGGGAAAGGGGGGATCAGGAATTGGAGGGAATTGAGAGTGCAGGCGCCCCCAGGGCTGAAGAACCCAGAAGAGATATGGGAGCTCCAACTGCTGGAGAAAGGCTAAGGGCCCATGAGGGTCCGGGATCAAGGACCAGCACTGAAGGACCCCAGGGCTTGGGTGACCGGAAGCGGAGACCCCCAAACAAGAGACCAGAAGGGGGCGCAGGTGACACCCCCGTAGGAGAGAATGAATGGGGAAGGCGGTCCGGAGGGCGGGGCAAAGGAGGGGCCCCGGTATGGGCGGGGCACAGACCCCTTTCTAAGTCCGAACCCCTGCCCCGAGAGCCCGGGGAGAAGCGGCTCCGCGACTCCCGCACTCACCGCCGGTCTCGTCAGTTACATAGGGAGTCGCCATCTTGAAAACGCAAACCACTTCCGGCGTGAGCGGGCTGGGGTCCCGCCCCCCTCCCCACCGGAAGTGGAGTCCAGAACCTGTGTGGATGCAGCCAAAGAAATAATACATATGCATCCTTAAGTATCCCATAGATGCTGAGTGGAGACACTGAGAAACAGAATGAAACGATATGATACGTCTTGTCCTTGTGGGCAGCGGACGTTGGCCCTGAAGTTTTAGAGAAAATGCCACAATTACATAGCAACATCTTCCAGAATTACAGTGACAGTCGTAGATCAATGACCTGGAAGCAGCAAGGGAAAGCAAAAAAGCAGTGTGACTCCTCCTCTTCTACACAGTCACATGAGAACAGAAGACACCTCTTGGGAGGGTAAGGTGAGATGTCATATCTGAATTTTCATTAAGTCAGTTTAAAGAAAACAGTAAGTAGAAATGTACTGCACAATGAGTAATATTTTCAAAGCACACATCAAAAGAGGCAAATTGAAGAAGTACCTACTATGTAGAGAGCAAGAGAAGTTGTACCACTTTGAAAGGTGATGTTGCAGAGAAGTAGCAGAGACTTGGGTTGTCATTAGATACCATATTAGAGGTGGGTTGGGAAGTAACATGGAAAACAAGAAAAACAAGAGGCATAAAAGGTATATTTTAAAACAGACTGCATGTACCGAAGTACACACACACACTCACTTCTATAGAATACAAATACACAATGGACTACAAAAAACAGTAACTCCTTGCCTTGCACAGCATTTTATAAATCGCTTTCACATACACTATCTTATTCGACTGTCACTGAATAGATACGCACATTTTTCCTAAAGATGAGGAAATTAGAATGGGGCACAACCAAAATGAAAATCTTGATTCCCAGTTTTCAACGTATCAACCTCACATACACAGCAGACACTTCAGCATCTCAATCAGCCAGGTTGGAAAATCTTCTCTGATCAGAAGAAATAGTGGGTTCTATAAACTTGTCAGAGGACTTCAGAGGCCACTAGACCCCTTCTCGTTTACCTTCTACCACCTCAGATCCCTCAACTGTTATCACCATCACCAGAGAAGGTACCGAAGGGTGACGGGTGGTGTCATCAAGGAGAGAACTCCAGCTGAAAGTTGTATTAGGTTCCTCTTCCCCTCACACCTCTGGACCTCAGTGACCCAACAACTAAGATGAGGAAGAGGGGGAAAAGAACTATGTAGCAATAAGGAGGTCTCCAACAGATACATCTTCGGTAAACAGTATTTAAACGGGGCTCCGGTAGGGTAGAAAGCAGGTACACTGAGAAATGGGGGAGGGGAAAGGGGGGATCAGGAATTGGAGGGAATTGAGAGTGCAGGCGCCCCCAGGGCTGAAGAACCCAGAAGAGATATGGGAGCTCCAACTGCTGGAGAAAGGCTAAGGGCCCACGAGGGTCCGGGATCAAGGACCAGCACTGAAGGACCCCAGGGCTTGGGTGACCGGAAGCGGAGACCCCCAAACAAGAGACCAGAAGGGGGCGCAGGTGACACCCCCGTAGGAGAGAATGAATGGGGAAGGCGGTCCGGAGGGCGGGGCAAAGGAGGGGCCCCGGTATGGGCGGGGCACAGACCCCTTTCTAAGTCCGAACCCCTGCCCCGAGAGCCCGGGGAGAAGCGGCTCCGCGACTCCCGCACTCACCGCCGGTCTCGTCAGTTACATAGGGAGTCGCCATCTTGAAAACGCAAACCACTTCCGGCGTGAGCGGGCTGGGGTCCCGCCCCCCTCCCCACCGGAAGTGGAGTCCAGACCGTAACAAGCCACCATTTTAGTCTTAAAGGGAGAGTACACCATTTGGTGGACAGAAGTGAAGGAGGCGGGAAGAAGCTGAAGACTAAAATAAAATAAGAGCCGTAGCCTCTTTTACTGCCATTGATGCCAGTAGTGAGCGCCTGCTGCGTATACAGCAGTTCTCTGAGCGCCGAGAGGAATTCCGAGGCACAGCCCCTACCCTCGCAGGCAGTCTTCGTCTGTCTAGGACCGGCGGGAGAAAAGGGGGCAAGGCCCACCTGCCTCCAGAAGGCGGGGGAGGGGGAAGGCTAGTGAACGAGGAAAAGAAGGATATTCAGGTCCTGGCCTGCGCCCAGGTTCCAGAGCCGCCTGGGGATACGGGGCGGGGGAGGCAAGCTCCGGGAACGCACCGGGGCGCACCAGTGTTGGGGGCGAACGCAAGACCCCAACTGACCCTCTCAGAAGGTGGGGAGGTAGAAATCGCGCGCCGATTGCCCTTGGCCGCTCAGCTCAACCCTCCCGAGAGAGACGCGCGAGAGGGACGTGCAAGGCCGAGGGCGCTGCCTGTCGGTCATTTGTCCCCGCAGCTACAGGGTTGCCAGCGACTTAAACGGCTGAGAAGGCGCGGCGGGCGGGCGGGGCGGACAGCCCGGACCTGGCCCTGCCCCTGGGGCGGCCCCAGGGACTCGGGCGGCGAAGTGACGACGGCCCAAGTTTGCTCAGGCCTTCGACCCGGGAGCCTCCTCGGGCTCGCCCCAGGGTCAGAGGGTGAGGTGAAGGCTGCTGGGCGGACCCAACTAGTAGTCTAATTAACCTCGGCCTCGTCGCAGTGCTCTGGGGATCCAACTCCGGGCAAAACGCCAATAATCTGAGCCGTACGGTCACTCCCTTTGCAGCCCTGCCCGGCCCCGGGTCTGCCTTTTCTTTAGGAACCCAAATGTTCTCCCTCCCCCGCTGTTTTCGGCAGCTCTTGCTCCTTCTGGGCTAAGTCCTGCTAAACTCGTTTCCCCCGCAGCTTGGGAGGGGCCGGCTCCAGGGTCCCCTCCTCTGCTCAGGTGTCTGCCCTGCCCTCCCCCACCCGCCGTGTTTTTTCCTCATCAACAGTTTTCTCTTCCTCCAGATACCGACTTGGGCCTAGGTTAATGTCCAACAGAAAAAGTGACCACCTCCAACACCAGGCTGCATGTCCCACTTAAAAAAAAAAACCCAGCTGAGAGCAATGGCTGACTAGGAATTTACTAAAGCTTTGAAATGAAGCCTCAGAAGTTTTATGGGGTCACAGCTTGCCTTCTCTCCCATACTCCACCTTCCTGACTTCCACCAGAGGCCCAGCTCAGAAAATCTCAAAAGAAGACTCGGGTAAAAACTGATATGCATTCAACACATAGTCATTGCAAGTGTTCCAACAATGCCGTCCTTAACCCTTGCTCTTCTTTCACCGACGTGCTTCAGCCCTGCGGGATCTCCTTTCCATAACCCTGTTACTAACGATTAAAGGTAAGAGTGAGATGAAGTCTCTTAAAAACTAGAGGAAGGCATTGTTCCTGCCTGCACTATCTGAGGGGTACTTTCTGCAAGAATCAGTCCTAAAGTGGCTGCAGCTGACCACCCAACCCTAGGCCCCCCACTGTGCCCTCAGACATCCTGTCTCAGCTCTGGGACTGACAGGAAGTGAAACTCAATTGTCTGCACAGCAGACCTGCCTGGGACCCAGCCCTGAACCCCGGATGTGCCACCTCCCCCGCCCCACCCCCCCAGGAGGAAGAAGAGAACGGAGAGGCTGGGGAGAACAAGGCTGTTGTTTTTTCCTTTCCCTTTGTTCGTTGCGGTTTCTTTCTTTCTGATTTTTATGATGTGGTTGATTAAAGAAATGAGCACCTGGAGCTGTAGGCATCAGAAGCCTCCTCCTTAGATGTTTCTTGGCCTTTCTTCCTCTCACCCCCACCAGTAAGTTACTGGGGTATGATGGAGCACAGATCTTGAAGACAACTCAAGCCCAGAGTATAATTGATTCCATCTTGTTCCTTATTAGAGGCGTCATCTCATGCCCCACTTTGAAGTCTCAAAAAAATGTCTTAAAAGGAGTATCTTTAACTTCGTGTAGGAGCATAGCTGAGCATGACAGTGAAAAACAGACGTACATAGGGTGCCAGCACTACCAATGTTACTTGCGAGGAAAGCTGGGCTCCTTGAGGATTAGTATCATGCCAGGATTCCTAGGTGAGGGGCGCAGGGGCGTAGAGCTTACTGGAAGAGGGGCTGGGGCCTGTGCCTACATCATTCGGGACGGCGGACACACACACCCATGCTCTGGGGCAGTCCCTAAGCTGGGCTGTCGGTGTCTTTGGCTGTCCTGCAAAACAAAGTACCGGACCTGATGTATAATAATCCTTCAAAAGTGCTTACGATTCCATGACTAAGGAGATCATGTAGGAAGGGGAGACGAAGGATGGGGAGTGGCCGGGCTCTTGATTTTTAAGGTTATAGGGGAGACAGGAGCAGAGAGACAGGCCTCTCCACTCCCCACCTCAGATCTCCAGTTCAGATGCAGCAGTAACACTCCAAACCCCATTACTCAGCAGCTATATTTCTGACAAAAATGGAGGGTTCTCTTCCAAGTCTCAAGTCAAGAGCTGCTTAGATCCCTGTTTCCACTAGAGGGCCTCATGTATTCATTCCTTCTCCTCTCCAACCCCCACCAAAAATAAGTGTATATTACACGTGTGTATATGTGTACTTACACGCGCAACACACACACAACACCCAAATACACCCTTCCAATCAGAGCTCCCCCCTCCCCCCTCTCTACTACCAGGTGTAAAAGGGAAGATTCCAGGAACTCAAGCCTTTGTCACCGAGTCCTATTTCAATGAAGGGTAGGAGGGGGTTAGACGGGGGTTGGGGCGGGGCCGGGGAGCTGGATGCCTGGGTCCTCAGTTCCTACCAGAGAGTCCCTAGGCCTCTGTCTTTCTCCCTGCTCTACCAGCCTCACCACCATCCATGCTGCCCCAAGAGCCTTAACTCGGAGCAGATTCCAGACAGGAGAAGCTGGAAAGATCTCCTTTCACCCCGACTTTTGACCAGGGCCTCCACACCACCTGCCAAGGCCAGCAGGTAAAGCGAGAGGGTTAGGGCACCAAGAAAGGGTGGACACAGGAAAATGCTCTTTGCACCTGAACCTTGACCGCAGAATTAAGGGAGGAATCTGAGTCTTGAGAGGAATTGTTCTTAGCCTGGGGAAAACAAATCTGAGACAGCTGGGGTTTGGGTTTAACAGGCGAGAAAACTGGAGGCAAAGGTGGGCAGGTTATCTCAAACAGTGTCAAGCAGTGTGGAGCCCGCGGTGGCAGGGAAGTGTTTGGTCAGAGGATGTGCAGTTTGGCACTCTGGCCTTGCTGCTGAGGCATCTCCTGAGTATAAATTCAATCCATGGTGGACGGAAAGGACTTGGGAAGGGAGGTCCCCTGATGGCAGCATTTAGGAGAGGGTGAGAGGTGGCTGGGTGGGCAACTGCCACGCTGTCTTATCAGCGGGCTCCCCCTCCCCTTCCCACCTATCTTCGCCTCCCTGGGTTGGGGTTCGGGGAGAGGGTGTAAGTTACTGGACAGAGAGAAACAGAGCTGTTGCCGGGGCGGGAAGATGAGCAGCGCTGGAATGTGGAGAAAGTGGCACAGACCAGAGCCCTGGAGATCTGGGGATCGGGGGAGGAGGAAAGCGGGTCTGGTGAACAAGAAGTTCCCCGAGCTGGGGGCGCTGGGCGCCGGCTGGCGGGCGGGCGGGCCGGCCGGGGTGGGGGGCGGGCAGCTGTGTCGTCAGGAGCGGGGCGGCCCCGCGGCGGCCGCGCCTGCCTGGCCCGTCCCCTCCAGCCCCGCTCGAGCTCCAGCTCCCGCGCCGGCGCTCCAGCTCCGACCGCGCGCCCTCCGCATGCAAGGTAGAGACCCCGCGAGCCCCGCGCCGCCTCCCACCCTCCCGCACTCGAGCGGCTTGGGGCGGAGGCCGCGGGAGGGGGCGCCCCACGGGCTGGGGTAGGTCTGCTGGGCCGAGAAGGAGGAAGCGTGACAGCTGGAGTGGGTAGCTAGAAAGGTTTGCGCCAGGAGCCGGGGGCAGCAGGAGGGTTGGCCCAGAATCCCATAGGCAGCGTTTTCCCCATGCCTTCCCCTCCATCTCTCCGATCCCTGATCACGAGGACGGATGCTGAAGCTGGCTCTTAGGGACCCGAGTCGGAGTAAAGTCCGCTTTGGAACCTCCACAGCGCTGCACGGGTGGAGAAGTGTACTTGTTTGGCCTCCTGGTGCCCAACTTCCCACCCCTCTCCTTTCTACACCTGTCAGCGGGAAGTTTCTGAAACTACCTGGGTCTGAATCCCACTTTTCACCTTTAAATTGGGAAAATGAGGTTTACGGAGGAAAGCATGCAAATATTACCGGGCATCTTCCCAACCTCCTAACCACATGAACCCACATCCCCCAACCATGCCAACATTGTAACTTCCTCCTGTACTATACAGCGACACTCCCCCCGCCCCACAGAAATAGCACCCCATTAATCAGACAACACTACCGTCTGCGATGTTTGTGGAAGCTTAACAAATTTTAAGGTTTCAAGCCAAATGATTCCCTCTCAGGGGCCACTGATAGCAAGGATGGGCAGGAAAGAAGCGACCCTCCCTTAATCCTCACAAAGAGGAGGGGGATGCAAGCCCTGGAATGGCTAAGGGATTCAGAAGTTCAGGTCATCTGTTCTGTGTGGTCAAAGAGGGGTGCCTGCCCCTTGAGGTTCCTTGCTGATCAGCCTGAGTATTCTGGGGACATAGCTGCTTCTTAGGTAGTGGTAAACCTACATGACTTGGAATGTGAGCCGTGAGTGTTGAAGTGAAAAAGAAACTTTAAGTGTTAGCACAGGCTTTGGAAATCATATTTATCTCTCGGTTACCAGCAATTTTGGTACTTAATGTTTAAAATAAGATCTAGAAGAAGACCAAAGACACTAAGATTTAATGGAATGGACTAAGGATGGAATGTCAAGAGTCTGGGTGTGACCTTGAGAGAGTGTTCTCTCTCTGGGCCGGAGTTTTCTCCTCTGTAAGATAAGAGAGTTGGTGCCTCCCCGCTCGGAGGATGTTCTAGGATTCTCTGCCTCCATGTCAACTTCTTACTTTCTCACCCCAAGTTAGTAGGGGCAGGCAGGGAAACCAGAGAAGGGAAGGGAAGGGTGAGTCACAAATAGCTGGCAGGCGGGCAGCAGACCCCACCCTCCCAGCCCTAGCATTGCCTGGACAAGCCCAGGTTATAGCTTCAGGGTTGGGATGGAACAGGACAAAACTGGACTTGTTTCAGATTTTTAAGGCCCTGGACACCTGAAAAAAATCCCAGGAGGCTTTATGTCCAGGGTCTCAGCCCAGAGGTGTCGTTGGACCCTGATCGGCTAGTATCTATAGCCACCTCCTCACCCTCCCAGAGCAAAGTGCGGGATCTTGATGTTACGTGTCTGTGCCTGAGACACAGGCAAGCGGGAGGCGGTACACCTGGCTTCACTGCCGCCGGGGGCCCCTTGGAATTTCTGCCATCCTGGGTCCAAGGCATCATTTTTCCCAATCTTCAAATATGTTTCTCCAGGTACCACCCTTGTATAATAACAACAAGCTAGTGTTTATTGAGTTCTTTCTCTGTGCCATGCAGTTTGCTAAGTATATTGCATGTTTTACCTTATTTAATCTCCACGTGGTGACTGATTTCTCCAGGTAACCATTTTACGGATAAGAAAACAGGTTCAGGGAGATGAAATAACTCATTCAAGAGCCAGAATTCTAATCCATGTCTATCTAATTCAAAAATCCATTCTCTTAACTTCTACTATATACTACATTTAAGACCTGGAGGGTTTGAAAAGACAGGCAAGAGAGGAGTATTGTGCCTTTCCTGTTTGCCCCTTGCTTGCTCACTCAGTCATTTTCTCTCTCAGATTCCATTTCCTAGAACCTTGGAGCCATCTAAGAATCCCCAGGGGTAATCAGAGGCTAATTAAGCCATAGAGGCTCCATTAACCATAAGACAATTATGTATTCATTAGATCTGTTGGCAGAAGTTAGATTATAGTCATTGAAAGGGCCAGATGGGTGGAGTCCTTTCTTCAGAATATTAGTGCCTCAGTACCTGCTTCTGAGTGTTCCCAGAGTGTCCAGAATAGGAATGCTGTATGTGGAGATATGGGGCAGAGATGTCCCAAAGGCGGAGGCTGCAGAGAAGGCTCTTCCATCATCAGAAAAGCAATTTTAGTGGCCCTCACCGCCTCCTAAGCCTGCCCCAACAACCCTAGAGAAGTGGGCAGCAGTGAGACAGAAGGTTAGGGCCTTGGGCTGAGTACCACACTAAGTGGCTTTTAAGCATCATTCACAATTTAACAAATAATTATTTAGCACCTACTATATGTGCTCCAGGCTTCCCAGTGGCTCAGTGGTCAAGAATCCGCTTGCAATGCAGGAGACCTGGGGTTTGAGCCCTGGATTGGGAAGCTCCCCTGGAGGAGGAAATGGCACCCCACTCCAGAATTCTCGCCTGGGAGATCCCATGGACAGAGGAGCCTGGAGGCCTACAGTCCATGGGGCTGCAGAGTCAGACACCACCCCCACGTGTGCTCCACGTTTCCTCATATTCCCCTCACTGTCCAGATGGATACTCTAGCATCCCATTTATCATCTTGGGATGAACAGTCCCCAAATATGACTCCCTAACTTGATACAACTATCTGTACAACTGTTACGGAACACTTAGAACACGATGGGCACTAGGTATTGAGGACAGTGGTGAACAAGTCTGATAAGCTCCTGCCCTGTGAAGCTTACATTCTGGTAGGAGATGACAAACAGTATACAAAGAAGCAAATACATTGGCCAGATAATGCCCAGGTGTGGTAAGTTCTGTGAAGGGAACAAAGGAAGGTGCTATGTAAAGGAGGGGGCCTACCTTAGGACAGAATGATCTGGAAAGGTCTTTTGGAGGAGCTGACATTTCAGCTCAGGCAAGAAGTCATCTCTGCCAAGAGCAGGGAAGGGTGTTCCAGGCAGACAGAACAGTAAGTCTCATGGCCCTGAGCAGGGAAGAACTTCGTGTGCTTGACAGAAAGGAGGGCAGTGAGACCAGAGAGCAGTGTGTGAGGCAGGGGTGTGTGTGGGGAGAAGTGGGGGGCAAGGGGGGACGCACGCACACAGTTCTTGGGTTGGAGCCTTGGGGCCTCCACTTGTCACCTGCCATGGGAAGTCCCAACCTCTTTGAGCTCCAGTTTTTTTCATCTATAGAATGCTATACCAATGATTTCTTACAGAGTTTGATTTTACTTCTTAATACAATAATAACTACCATTCCTTGTAGAACTTCTATATATGCCAGGTTATACTAGGTACTTTTCATACATTCTTTTCTTTTCTCATACATTATTTGACTTAATCCTCGCAACTATGAAAGATAGACATCATTCTCCCCATTTTATAGATATAACTTGCCCAAGTCACACGATGGTATCAGAGCTGAGAATGGAATCCCCATATGACTAACCCCAGTTCTGTCGGACTCCAAAAAGGTGCTGTACTATGCTAATGTAATTTATTATTGTTACTACTGTTATTGAATCTTCAAGGCAAGTTGCGCCCTGCAGCTTGGCCGCTGGGTCAGCAGCGGTCAACATCATCCACATGTTGATGGCTCCTCCTTGGTTCCTGAGCCCCGCGGCTGAATGCTGGGGTTCCCTAAACACTGCCAACCTAGCAGGGCGGAAAGAAAGCTCCCTCACCCAGCACAACCGTCCCGGAGCTGATGCTCAGCGCCTTCTTCCCCTACCTCCTCCCACTTTCTCCTCCCTGGGGCCCGCCCTTCCCCAGCGGAGCTCCGCAGGACGCAGGCAGACAGGCGGGGCTGGGGCTGGGGGCCCGGCGAGAGCTGGTTCTGTGTCGCGCGCGTCCGAAGCGCTAGAGGTCGTTGCGGGGCGTGGGTGGCTCTGGGAGTGGTGGCCGAGCGGGGCCGGGGACCAGGGCTGGAGGCGGAGCAAGATGGGGTCGTGGCCCGGGAGGCGTGCGGCCATCTCAGTGAGAAGCACCGCAGGGCCGGGACTGCGATCCATCCTGAGCTCAGGGCCGGGGAGCTGAGACTGCGGAGACTGGGGGAGGAGGGAGAAAAGGGAGAAAAGCGTCTGAAGGACACCCCCCCCAGGGACACTAGCCTGGGCGGGGGAGTGAGGGTGGTCCAGAGGTGAGTCAAGACAGACCAGGGGAGAAATCAGAGAGCTGGGGAAGGAGCCAGAAACGCTGGCGATGGAGGCAAGGATGAGTCAGAGAAACACACACAGAACAGTGCCCGGGAGGTGGAGACACAGGAGAGGAACGGAGGGCAAGGAAGGCCCTGGGGAGGCACTCAGAGCAGGAGCAGGAGTGGAGAATGAATGCACCAGACGGAAGCGGAGAGGCGCAGAGAGCTAGTCAGTCCTGCCGCATGCTCTTGTCTTCTTCCAGAACTACCCTTGGAAGCAAAGTTCCAAGCCCCACAAGTACCACAACCAAGCTGCCTTTGTGTTCATCCTTAGAAAAAGAAAGATGGCCAAGGAGAGGGGCCTAATAAGCCCCAGTGATTTTGCCCAGCTGCAGAAATACATGGAGTGTGAGTCTTTCCTCTCAGTCATTCAGTCCTGGAGCCCTTACCCTTAGACAGTGCCTCCTCCTCCTCACTCCCCCCAGCTCCCCCTCTTTTCCCTGGTGGCCTTGAGACTGGATGCTCTTGAGATATGCCTGACTGGGAGAAGGAGGGGAGGCAAATGGGGAGACACCTGGGGTCTTAGCTTTCTACCCACCTTCTCTGAATCTTAACTGCCTGCTTCAAATCTCAGAGAAGAGAAATAACGAGGGCAACCACTTTGGAGGATCTGAAAGGTTTTTCTCTCTGTATTTCTCTTTTTTTCCTTGAAATTTCTTTTTCATCTCACTGGAATCTCCTTACCTGTTGGATGTCTGGAGGGTGACTGGCAGAGGGTAGGGAAATCTGAACCAGAATAACGCTATCTTCCCTGTCTTCACTCCCTAGACTCCACCAAAAAGGTCAGTGATGTCCTGAAGCTCTTTGAGGATGGTGAAATGGCTGAATATCTCCAAGGAGATGTAAGTGGCCACTGGGAAATCGTCTCCTTCACCAACTCCTCCCACCTTGTTTTTGCTACTCGATTGGGATGCCCAACTTCCAAGGATTATTCTGGCCGAACCCTTGCTATCCTCTCTCCGGATTCCGCCAGCACCCATGGTTACTGCAGCTGTTGCTTTAGGACAAAACAAGAGATTCTGTGAACTCAAGACTTAGCCCAATAAAGCACACTCCTTCCTTGGATGCTTCTCAGCTCTGCATTTATTGTCATGTCCCCACCACTCCCAATGCAGTCCCCAGCTCCCATCCCGCAGATCTCCCTGGAGTAATGCTTGCTCTCATCATAGGCCATTGGATACGAGGGGTTCCAGCAATTCCTGAAAATCTACCTGGAAGTGGATAATGTTCCAGATCACCTAAGCCAGGCACTGTTTCAGTCCTTCCAGACTGGCTACTACATAGAAGACACTGTAAGAGAAGGTATGGTCACATGTAGGTGGGACTGGGCTGGGCTTCCAGCCCAAAAGAAAAGTCAAATTACGTGGGAGTTTTGGGAGTGAGAGTTGAATTGAGTCACATCTTGGGGCCAAGGTGGTGGGAGGGAGAGGTAGAGAGGGTAGCCAGGCTGGTCTAGGAGCCAGAGGGAGAAAGGTGAAAGCAGAGAGTTGGAACAAAGAAAGGAAGGGAGAAGAGCCGGATGGAGCGAGCCCCAGCCTCAGATCTGCTGCGTGTTTTGTGAGCAGATGTGGTGTGTCTCAGTGACGTCTCTTGCTACTTTTCTCTGCTGGAGGGTGGCCGGCCGGAAGACAAGCTAGAGTGTGAGTTGCCGCTCTGGGCTGGGAGAGGGGAGGAAAGGTGAAGGGAAAGAGGGTATTCCCTAGCCAGACAGAGGTGGAGTCAGAGAATGGGCCTCATTTCCTTTGTTTCCCCAGACTCCTCGCACTTAACGCCATCCACCAGAGTCACCCTAGTTCCCATGTCTTGTGTATGTTCACGCGGGTGACCTAGGATGTTCTTGGCATTTGGGAGGCGTGTACTGTTTCCCCTTGCTTTTGTCCCCTGTCTCGGTCCCAGCCCCAATCCTGGTTCTTCATCCAAACAGTCTCTCCTATCTCTGTTTCTCCTGTATTCGGTTATGAATTCTTTGGATCTCCCTCACAAACTGACCCCGGCCCCCAAAACCTCCCACAGTCACCTTCAAGCTGTACGACACGGACCGAAACGGGATCCTGGACAGCTCAGTGAGTTGGGGGCCTGTGTGCTGGGCGGGGAGCATGTGTCCGTCCGTCTGCGCCCTCCCGCCCCAGCTCTGGGACCTGTGTGCTGGGCAGGGAGCGTGTGCCCGTCCGTCTGCGCCCTCCCGCCCCAGCTCTGGGACCTGTGTGCTGGGCAGGGAGCATGTGCCCGTCCGTCTGCACCCTCCCGCCCCAGCTCTTCCAGGACCTTCAGAAGAAGAGGAAGCTAGAGGGAGAAGCTGAGTCTTCCAGGACTAAATCTGGGAGTAGGTCCCAAGCTCTTGGGGCTTCCCTGGCTCAGCGGTAAAGAATCTGCCTGCCAGTGCAGGAGACTCAAGTCCGATCCCTGGGTCAAGAAGATCTCCTGGAGAAGGAAACGGCAGCCCACTCCAGTATTCTTACGTAGAGAATCCCATGGACGGAGGAGCCTTGTGGGCTCCAGTCCATGGGGTCACAAAGAGTCGGGCATGACTTAACGACTAAACGACCACAACCCACGCTCTTGACCCCTAAAAGCGGGTGCTAGAGACATGATCTGGGGACTCCCTTGCAAACATAAACACACAGGCACTCATTTACTTGACAGAGGCACTTGAGGATGCGGGGGTCTGCGGGTGGAGCCTTGGTCTCGAGAGGAGAGTTTGGACAGTGGTAGTGAGGCGGGATATGGCTGTGGCTCTTACCCTCTTGGCCCCCAGGAAGTGGACAGAATCATCATACAGATGATGCGAATGGCTGAATACCTGGATTGGGATGTGTCTGAGCTGAGGCCGGTAAGGCAGTTCTTCCTGCATGTCCCTTCTTATACCTCCTCCTCAGTCAGTCCTTGATTTGTCCTCCCCCATTTCTGACAAGGCAGCTTGGTTGCCCTCGACTAGGATGGCTAGGCTGAGTGTGCTAGGGGGCAGTAGAAGTGAGGGGTTACTCACCCCAAAAGTCTGCCTCCCTGCCTTCTCTGCTCAGATTCTTCAACAGATGATGAAAGAGATTGACTATGATGGCAGCGGCTCTGTCTCCCTGGCTGAGTGGCTGCGGGCCGGGGCCACCACCGTGCCCCTGCTCGTGCTGCTGGGCCTGGAGATGGTGAGTAGGAGAGATCTGTGAGGATGGGTAAAACGCTGTCTTGGGGTGTACTCGCCAGAGTTGGCTCTCTGAGCCTTAGACATCCCCCGTGTCTGCCGTGCCCTCCCAGACCCTAAAGGACAATGGGCAGCACATGTGGAGGCCCAAGAGATTCCCGCGACCAGTCTACTGCAACCTTTGCGAGTCGAGCATCGGTCTAGGCAAACAGGGACTGAGCTGTAACCGTGAGTGACGGGGCTGAGGAGCGTGGGAGCAGAGGGGCAGCCCGGCCGTCTGTGGGAGCACGGCGCTCTGAGCTCCGAGAGACCTGGGTCTGAGTCCTGGGCTCTGCCAGTGACTGGTTATGTGGCCTCGGGAAAGCCACATAGCATGTGTTTTTCAGCTTTTGATTTTGTGTTGGGATGCAGCCGATTAACCATGTTGTGGTAGATTCAGCTGGACAGTGGAGGGACTTGGCGAGACATACGTGTACCCATCCTTCCCCCAAGCCCCCTCCCATCCGGGCTGCCACGTGCCACTGAGAGCGTGCCCTGTGGCATACAATAGGTCCTTGCTGATTATCCACTTTGAATATAGCAGTGTGCACATGACCTTCCCACACTCTCTAACCCTCCCTTCCCCCAGCAACCGCAAGTTCATGTTTTCAGCCTGTGAGTTTCTTTCTGCTTTGTAAGTTCATTTGTATCATTTCTTTTTAGATTCCACACATAAGGAATGTCATACAGTATTTCTCCTCTGTGTGACTAACTTCACTCAGTGTGACACTCTACATCCATGGTGCTGCAAATGGCGTTATTTCATTGTTTTTAATGACTGAGTGATATTCCATTGTATATACGTACCACATCTTCTTTATCGATGGACATTTGTGTCCAGGTCTAGCCCACAACATCTTTAAGTCTTAGTTTCTTCACCTGAAAGTGAGGTAATATGAGCATTAAATAAGCCGATGCCAGAAAAGTACTTCATTCAGTTCATGTACCTACTATTAAGTCCGCAATAAAAATTAGCTATTATTTTTGGTGGTGTTTTATCTGGGCGTCCTTCTACATCATCCAGCTCAGTTTCTGACCCATGAATGGAGTGGGGTTGAGCATTTGGTAGCAGCTGCTCTTTTAGGGGGAAGCGTGAGCCAAAGACCCAGGTCTTGGAGGTGAGTCCAGGTCCACCCCGAACTTGAATTCTGTGCCACGCCCTCAGCGAGCGGCGAGACGGCAGCCGCAGTGAGGGGTGCTGCCCGGCCCCCGGGTGAGGAGGACGCGGGCTGGGGCAGCAGCTGGGGAGCTGACCTCTCTCCCTCTGGCGCAGTCTGTAAATACGTCGTCCACGACCGGTGCGCCATGAAGGCCCTGCCCTGTGAAGTCAGCACGTACGCCAAGTCTCGGAAGGACATTGGGGTGAGTGGCCCCGTGCCCGCTCAGTCCACCCGATCCTGGCCCCGGGCCTTGGCCCGTCGCTGCCCTGACCTTCCCCGAGTCCCCGCCTCAGGCGCTCCCAGACAAGGGATTGCCTTTCTCCCCAAGGTCCAGTCACACGTGTGGGTGCGGGGAGGCTGTGAATCCGGCCGCTGTGACCGCTGTCAGAAGAAGATCCGGATCTACCACAGTCTGGTTGGCCTGCATTGTGTGTGGTGCCACCTAGAGGTCAGCTTGGGAGCTGTCACCCCGGCCCTGCCCTGGGCCCCTCGCGAGCGGCCCTTGCCGCCGCGCCCAGCCCGCCCGCCACCGCGCCCAGCCCGCCCGCCACCCCAGCCAGCCCGCCCGCCTCCTCCACGTCCGACAGCCTTGGTTGTACTAGACTGCCAGTTAACAGGTGGTGGGGGTCCCTTCACCTTCTCTCCGTGCCTGCCTTGTCTTTCAGATCCATGATGACTGCCTTCCAGCCATGGGCCATGAGTGTGACTGTGGGCTGCTCCGAGATCACATCCTGCCTCCGTCTTCCATCTACCCCAGCGTCCTGGTGAGACTCTTGGGCAGCACTTGGGAAGGGAGCAGGAGAGCTTCCCCACGTTAGACACGCACACATACAATGTCACTTAGAGCAGAGAGCCTATATTTCCAGGATCCAAGTCAGACTCTCATCTGTTTATGGAGTCACACAATCCAGTATTCCTTCCCTCTGCCTCCTTCCTTTCCTAGGCCTCTGGACAGGAGCGTAAAACTAGCAAAATAAGCCAGAAGACTGTGGATGATTTAAGTTTGAGCACTTCTGAGGCTCTGCGGGTACAGGGCCGAGAGGGCTTCATGGTGGGGACTTCATGGGAGGAAACCTGGGTGTTGGAGCCTGCTCCCTGGGAGTGGAGGGGAAAGCCTCCCGGGGGGAAGTCAGCCCTCTGCCCCTGTCTCCAGGCTCCATCTTCACTGACCAAATCCTGCTTTCCTTATCCTTGTTTTCTTCCCTCAATGCAGGTTGATCCCGTTTCTAACACCCACCCACTTCTGGTCTTTGTGAACCCCAAGAGTGGCGGGAAACAAGGCGAGAGGTGAGAAGAGATAGAATAGCCTTTGTGAAATCCAGGGGGAGACCAGCAGAGGTTGGGAATCTGTGTGTTTGGAGGGGACATACCTAAAGGACATTCAGAGTGGGGAGTGTAGGAACTTCCTTGGAGGCCCAGTGGTTAAGATTCTGAGCGTCCACTGCGGGGGCAGGGATCCCATCAATTGTTGGGGAACTAAGGTTCTGCACGCCACGCCAAAACAGAGTGGCATACAGAATGCCCATCCCCTCCATGAGTTTTCCTTTTTCCCCACACAGGGTGCTTTGGAAATTCCAGTATCTGCTGAACCCTCGACAGGTGTTCAACCTCCTAAAGGATGGTCCTGAGCCAGGGTGAGGATAGACTGGGGGCTGTATCACGGGGTTGTGTGTGTCTGCCTGTCTGTGTACGTTGGAAGAGAGGAGGAAAGAGTGCATGTTGGGAGGGAAGGGCCAGGGGAGCCCAGAAAACCAGACTTCACAATGCTGCTGGTGCTGGGAATTCAGGTCGGGGGACCCTGAATTCCCTAGCTCACCTTTGCTCTGCATCTCAACAGAAGGAGATAACTGCTTCTCTTCACTGAGGAGTGACTATAAGGTTGTACTTTTTCTCTAGCCTTAATAGAAACAAGTCTTTTGACAAAGGGAAAGGGCATTATAAGGAATGAGAAACAATAAGTATTTACTCTGCCTGTCCCAAGAGTTGGGTAGCCTTGGTCCTGATATCCTTCCTCATTTTCCCTTTCACCTTTTGTCTCAGACTCAGATTCTTCAGAGATGTTCCTGATTACAGGATTTTGGTGTGCGGCGGGGATGGCACAGTAGGCTGGATTCTAGAGTCCATTGGTCAGTGAAGGGAGAGGCTGCAGGCCGGGCCCAGGGGCAGCAGCCCTCCAGAGCTAACTCTCTCCATCCGTCTCCCACCTGCCTCCCCAGACAAAGCCAACTTGCCTTTTGTGCCTCCTGTCGCCGTGTTGCCCCTGGGCACTGGAAATGATCTGGCTCGTTGCCTAAGGTGGGGAGGAGGTAAGTGGCTAGAAACTGGTAGCTCAGCTAGTAAAGCGTCCGCCTGCCATGCAGGAGACCCCGGTTCCATTCCTGGGAAGACCCCCTGGAGAAGGGACAGGCTCCCCGCTGCAGTGATCATTGGCTTCCCTGGGGGCTCAGACAGTAAAGAATCCGCCTGCCATGCGGGAGACCTGGGTTCGATCCCTGGGTTGGGAAGATCCCCTGGAGGAGGGTCTGGCAACCCACTCCGGTATTCTTGCCTGGGGAATCCCCACGGACAGAGGAGCCTGGTGGGCTGCGGTCCCTGGGGTCACAGTCAGACGTGACTGAGCGGCTAAGCACGGGGTGTGAGGGGGTTGGGTAGGAAGGGGAAGGCACATAGAGACGGCGTTTAGGGGACTTCCCTGGCGGTCCAGTGCTTCAGACTCCAAGCCTCCACTGCAGGGGGTGCAAGTTCAACCCCTGGTTAGAAAACTGAGATCCCGCATGCCATGCGGAGCAGCCAAAACTTTTTTTTTTTAATTTAAGCATTTAGGCATCTGGTGAAGAAAAAGTGTTGGTGGAGAAGAGAGGCACAGATAGATGGGTCCTAAAGTAGATCGTCTCAAAGGAAGAGGGCTCTGGAAGAAGCCAAGGGCCTGAAGGGCCAAGGGTGACAGTCTGAACTTAGAAGAGTCAAGGGTGACCGTCCTCTTCCCTATCAACTTGAAAATACTCTTTTGTTTCTCCCAGGTCTTAGAGCTCAGAATCAAAGAAAATGTGGGTAGAGAAGACAATGTGGGAATAAGACAGAGCTGTATGTAAGGGCTATGTATAAGAGCTAAGCCAGATTCTGAGTGATGAAGCTAGCAGGGAACTTGGCTGTGGCGCATTCGTTTATTCAGCCAATTACAGTTGGCCCTTGAACAGCATGATCTTGAGCTGTGCTGATCCACTTACTGAGGATATTTTCTGGTAGTAAGTGTTACAGGTTTACACAGTCCATGGTTGGTTGTATCCACAGATGCAGAGGAACAGTGGATTTGGAGGGCTGACTATGTTATACTCAGATTAACCCCTATGGCATTCAGAGGTCAACTATAATCAGAAATCATTCATTCATTCATCATAGTTTTTTCCCCAAGTCTATTGCAACATTCCCTTAAAGGCTCTCCCATTTCTACTGTTTTTTTATCCCTTCAAAGAGAAGGTTTAAGGGATGGTATTGACAGATAAAGAGGTCAGTGTGGGGGAAGGTTGAAACTGTCTTGGAATGAGGAAGTTGTCTTGGAGTTGAGGCTCTTGGATTCAGAGTCCAGCTTTGAGATCTCACAGGAGATTATGGAATGGGAGGTTGCTAAGGAGAGAGAAAGGTATTCTAGGTGAAACAAGTTGTGTAAGACCAGCAGAGCCGCCAGACAAGGTGGTGGTGCGTTTTGGAAAGTGTGAGTCGTCTATTGTGACTGGCGCACAGCGGGCTGTGGGAAGAGGAGGCCAGACCGAAGCGGGGTCAGGTAACGGAGGATCGTGAGTGCTGTGGGCTTCATCCTGCCGCGACTGAAGGCTGGCAGCCCAGACGTGGTCCGCACTGTTTCACACTAGCAGGTTGCCTTGCAAAGTTGTAAATTTTTTTGACCTTGACTGTGTCTAAAAACGGGTCATGTTTTCTTCAATTCACTGTAATCCTCTCAGCTCCCTGCTACTCACACTCTCTACCTTTCTAGCCTCAGGCGTTAGAATGTGCCGTCCTGGAACCATGGGCAGCTCTGGAACTCAGGAACTCATGAAAGATATATATATATCTATATATATAGATATATAGATATAGATATAGATATTACTTTCTATTAGTTCAGTTCAGTCGCTCAGCCGTGTCTGACTCTTTGGGACCCCATGGACTGCAGCACACCAGGCTTCCCTGTCCATCACCAACTTCCGAAATTTGCTCAGACTCATGTCCATCGAGTCGGTGATGCCATCCAACCATCTCATCCTCTGTCGTCCCCTTCTCCTCAAAGTAGTATGTAATATTACTTCGTATATAATAGAATTTTTTTTGGCTGCATGGTTTTCGTTGCTTTTGCAAGGGCTTTCTCTAGTCTCAGCGAGCAGGGGCCACTCTTCATCGTGGTTGCAGAGCCCAGGCCCTGGGCGCACCGGCTTCAACGCTTGTGGCTCACAGACTCGGTGGTTGGAGCACATGGGCTCAATAGTTGTGGCACAGGACTTAGCCGTTCTGCGGCATGGGGAGTCTTTCCGGACCAGGGTTCGAACCCGTGTCTCCTGAATTGGCAGCAGAATTCTTATCCACTGTGCCACCAGGGAAGTCCAAAATTACTCTTCATATACAATATTATTTCAGAAAGTAGAAATATCTCTATATATAGTAATTTGAACCTTGTATGTAAACATATGACCATTTTTGGAGGGGTATTCTTAAATTCTCAACATCTGACTTTGTTTCTTTTATCATTACAGTTACTCTTTTTTTTCCCAAACATTTATTTATTTTACTTGGCTGCATTGAGTCCTTTTTTCTTTTTCTGGCTGCTGTGGGTCTTCGTTGCTGCTTGGGCTTTTCTTTAGTTGCAGCAAGCAGGGGTTATTCTCTGGTTGTGGTACACAGGCTTCTCATTGCAAGGCTTCTCTTGTTGTGGAGCATGGGCTCTAGGTGCCGGCTCAATAGTTGTGGCACACAGGTTTAACTGCCCTGAGGCATAACAATCTTCCCAAACCTGTGTTCCCTGCATTGGAAAGCAGATTCTTTTTTTTTTTTTTTTTTGGAAAGAAGATTCTTAACCATCGAACCACCAGGGAAATTCCTGACTGGTTTCATTGCAATATTAGACTCTTTGAAATCATGAACTTTGAATCTTTACTCTTTTTTTTCTGAAGAAACAATTATTGTATTTATTAGTTATTTATTTGGCTGCACCCAATCTTAGTTGTGGCATGCAGGATCTTTAGTTGCAGCATGCGAACCCTTCGTTGTGGTGCGGGATCTAGTTGCCTGACCAGGGATTGAACCCGGGCCTCTGGCATTCGGAGCTCAGAGTCTTAGCCCCTGGACCACCAAGGATGTCCTTTCACTATGTGCTTTACAAATGAGATTCTCATAGCAGTTTCTGCTAATTCCATCTGAACCATGAAAATAATTATTTGAATACAGCACTAATGAAAATTTTTGTTGATATTGAAAAAAATCCTAAGATTCGAAGAGGGATTGATGAAAGGAATACTGCGATGGGAGCTCTATGGAGGATGGATTGGAGGCAGGAAGCAGTTCCTCAATTGCAGTAGTCTAGTTGATTCCTCAGTGGGCTAAGAATGTGCCTGCAATGCAGGACACACAGGAGATGCAGGTTGGGTCCTTGGGTTGGGAAGAGCCCCTGGAGGAGGAAGCAAGAACCCACCCCAGTGTTCTTGCCGGAAAAATGCCATGGACAGAGGAGCCTGGGGAGCTGCAGTCCTTGGGGCCGCGCAGAGTCGGGCCCTGAGCACAGCACACAGTCAGGAGGAAAGGACACAGACGCAAAGGCAGCACGACCGGTGGGGCCACGAGGTAGGAGCCACAGGACGTGGTGGCTAACAGACGGTGGAGGATGAGCTGAAGACACGTCTAAGACATTTTCTAGGTTTGTGAACTGAGCAGATGGGGGTACTGTTTATTAACACAGGGAATTTAGAAGACCAGTTTAAGGAAGAAAGATAGATTCTGTTTGGGTATATTGAGTTTAGCTATCAGTGGAGCCCCCAGATGGAGATGTGTGGTGACTAGTTAGAACTTGACTTTAGGAATTTAGGAGAGAGGTCAGGGCTAAAGATACATGTTTGAGAGACATCTGCTCCAAAGAGATAATTGATGTCCTCAGAGGAGATGAGTTACCCAGGGAGAGAGATAAGACGAGAAGGTAGATAAGGACAGCCAGGTCCTGGTAAACATTCTATTTAAAGGTTGAGCAGAAGAAGATGAATTATTAAAGGAGTCTGTATTAGTGCCCTGTTGCTGCCGTAAAAATCACCATGGTGCCTTAAATCAACACAGATTTATTATCTTAACAGTTCCGGAGGGCACAAATCCAAAATCATTTCCACTGAGCTAAAATCTTGGCAAGGGTGAAAACATGCTCAGAGACTTAGAGAACAAACTTACGTCTATCGGGAAGAGTTGGGGAGAGGGATAGATAGGGAGTTTAGAATCAACATGTGCACACTGCTGTGTTTAAAATGAATAACCAGCAACGACCTTCTGAATAGCACAGGGAACTGACTGCTCACTGTTATGTGGTAGCCCGGATGGAAGGAGAGTTTGGGGGAGAATGGATACATGTATGTACATGGCTGAATCTATCACAACATTCTTAATTGGCGATACTCCAATGTAATACAGGGCTGTATTTTTCTAGAGGCCCTAGGGGAGAATCCCTTGCCTCGCCTTTTCCAGTTACTAGAGGCTGCCTGCATTCTCTGGCTCGTGGCCCACCTTCCAGCCAGCAGTGTTATCATTCCAAGCTCTGCTTCCTTGTCACATCTCCTTCCATGACTTCTCTCTTGTAGCCTTCTTTCGCTTATAATGAGCCCTGTGATTACACAGGGCCCAGCCAGATAATCCAGGATGATCTCCTCACCTTAAAGTCCTTCGTTCAATCTTGTCTGCAGTCTCTTACTCGCCGATTTTGAGGATTAGGGTGCGGACGTCTCTGAAGGGCCGTTGTTTTGCTTACCGCAGAGACTAAGGAAAAACAGAACAGGCCCTCTGTAATTTGGCGGTATTTTAGAGGCTAAGTGAGGAGTCTCATGAATTAGAAGAAGAACTAAAGATATACTGTTGGTTTTGGCAGGAATCACTGGCAGTCTTTGCCAGAAGAGTTTCACAGGGTGGTATTGAGAAAGGCAAATTATAATGGGTTGAACCATTGATGAAATGTGAGGAAGTGAAGATTTTTTTTTAATCTTTTCCTGATTACAAAAATAATACATGCACGTGGTTAAAAAAAAATAATAATGATAATTCAGGACTTCCCTAGTCTTCCACTACAAGAGGCACAGGTTCAATCCCTCATTAGGGAAGTTCCATGTCCTGGCACAGCGTGGCCAAAAAAAAAAAAAAAATCAAACATCTCAGATATACTTGCCAAGAAAATGAAGTTCCCTGGAATCTACTCCCTGAAGTTTTGGAGTCTGTTCTTCCATGTTTTTCTCTCTAGACACATACTAATATGTATTTAAGCAATAAGATCATTTTGTTGATGTTTTTCTTTTATATGTTAAATAAACAGTTCATCTTAGTTATCATATTTCAATATGGTCAGGTTTGCCTCACTTTTTTTTTTACTACTGAGCAGCATTCCATTGTGTGAGTATGCCATGATTTATTTAAGTAGCCCCCCCCCCCGCCCCTTTTTTTTGGCCATACCATGAGGCTTGCAGGATTATAGTTCCCCAACCAGAGACTGAACTTGAGCCTTGGCAGTTAAAGTATCGAGTCCTAACCACTGGACCGCCAGGGAACTTCGTAACTAGTCTCATGTTGATAGATATCTGGGTAGCATTCAATTTTTTAATCACATACCATGCTTCAGTCTATCTCTGTACACAGCTGTGAGAATTCCTCTAGGAGAGATTTCTAAAAGTGGAATTGCTGGCTCAAAGAGCATAAACATTTTACTGGTTATTTTATCTTTTAAAAATTATACAAATATTGCATCAGTACATTTTCACTGTGAAAGGTTTTAAAAAGTAAAATATGTGAGTCTTCACATGAAAGTTTCCACGTCCCTACCCCTCACCAAATCCCACGTTCCTCCCCAGGGGTAAACACTCTTCCCTATTTGCACTCTGCGTGTGTGTTTCACACACACACAGAGCTTTAAACAAAGAGATGGGATCGCACAGTGCCCTGGCACTTCTTTTTTCTTTGAGTATGTCTTGGAGAACTTTCCAAGTTATTTCTTAGAGATTTGATTCAGATTATAATAGCTGCACATTATTTCATGGCATGGATTTGGCATAATTTATATAGCTTTCCCCTCATAATGGATATTTAGATTGTTTTTTGTTTTTCCTTTTTTTGCTGTTTTAGCAAAAACCCTTGTACATCCATCTCTATACATTTGTGTTTCTGGAGGAGAAATTCCTAAAAGTGGAATTGCTGTGTCAGAGAAGATGTTTTGATAACATTTCGATAAAAGTTGCCAAATGGTTTTCCAAAAATGAAATACCAATTTATGCTCCAACTAACAGCAGATGAGAGTGCCAGTTTATTCATAATCCCATTAACACTTGGTTTTCTCATCCTCTTTATAATTTGTCAATCTGATAGGCAACAAAAAGTTAACTACTTTACAGTTTTAATTTACAACTCTTTTAGTTATTAGTAATACTAAGCATCTGTAGTAGGCATACTGGCCATGCATATTTTTTCTTCTGTGATTGGCTTGAGTTGTTTGCCCGTTTTTCTATTGACTTTTTGAATATAGTGTTTTATAAGGACTTTTCAAATGCTGGCTAAGTTAGTGTGTTATATGTGCTGCAGGTACTTTTTCCCAGTTTGTCTTTTTTTTAAGGTGTGTGTTTATTTAATGATACAGAAGTTGTATGTTTGGGCCTTTTTTTCTTTTGGTCAGGACTATTTCTGTTTATTTTATGGCAATTTTGAAAATTCCAAATATATTTGCTTTACTTTTGTTTGATTTCAGAAATTTTTAATTTAATTTTAGTATGATTGTATTTATTGGTCTTCTTATTTGGCTGTACGTTTTGTACTATGTTTTTTAAATTTTTTATTTTATAAAATAAAAGTTATTTTTATAAAAATATGTACGAGATAAAAAATTTTATATATTTTATGGCATACAGCTGATTAACAATGTTGTGATAGTTTCATATGGACAGCAAAGGGACTCAGCCATACATATACATGTAGCCATTCTCCCCCCGCCCATCTAGGCTGTACTATGCTTTAGAAAGGCTTTTTCCACTCAAAGATGATAAAACATTCACTCATGTTTTCTGCTAGTACAAATTTTTCTTACATTAAAATTGTTTGACCCATCTTGAATTTATTTTAGTATCAGGTGTTGTTACTTCTACATCCAGCACCATTTACTGAATAATCTTTCTTTTTCCATTTCTTCGAAATGTCATCATATACTAAATTCCCACGTATACTCGAGTCTATTTCTGGGGTGCTCTGTTCTTTACTGTGGAACTTTTTATTCTATTCACTGTGCCAGTATCAGCCTGTTCTGATACTGTTGCTTTATACTGTGTTCTGTCTGGGAGAAGAGAAAGCATCAGAGAAAGAGATCATTCCCATTCATCACTCATCTTTTTCAGCACTTTTCATTTTCCTGGCAATTTTCTTTACTCTTCTAGATGAACTTTGGCATTATTGTTAGATGTGCACACACATTGGACACTTTCACCCTCCGTGACAGTGACCGTGTGGAGAGAAGGGTCAGTGAGTGTCTGACCTAAAGACTGGTTCATGGAAGCCGGACTGAGCACCCCGCCCTTTTGCGCTTAGGGCTGATAGGGTCTGCAGCACAGGAGCACAGTATCCCTGAGAATTTGTGGGGCTGGGAGCTTAGAGGCGGCCCCTCCTCTGGGCCCCAGGGCTCAGTGCGGACCTGTTTTCTCCCCCGCCGCAGGGTATGAGGGACAGAATCTGGGGAAGATCCTCAAGGACTTAGAGGCGAGCAAGGTGGTACATATGGATCGATGGTCTGTGGAGGTGATACCCCAACAAACCGAGGAGAAGAGCGACCCAGTCCCCTTTCACATCATCAATAACTACTTCTCCATCGGTGTGGTCAGTGGAGTGGGGCGTGGGCAGGGGAGGGAGTGGGGGTCAAGCTGGGAAAAGCTCACCGAGGGCAGAAAAGAGACGTGGAGGGTAAGGGAGCCACGGCACGGAAGTGAGGAGCTGGGGGATAGTGGTGTGAACTGCAAGAAGAGAAGGCGGGGTGTATCACTCCCAAACTGGGGAGTGAAAGGGCTCTGTGCTGAGAGAGGAGGCAGCCTCTGATCTCACTTGCCCTGGACCCCCCAGGATGCCTCTATTGCTCACCGATTCCACATCATGCGAGAGAAGTATCCTGAGAAGTTCAACAGCAGGTGAGGGAAGGGAGAGTGTGGGCACACACAGTGGCAGGGACCAGCTTTGGCCAAGTTTGACTCCGTGCTTCAATGGGCAGTGACGCTCCCAGGAAGCCCCTTGACCGAGCTTCCCTGCTCCCACTGGGACAGCAGCTGGGGGGTTGATGGCCTTCCCTGTCGCTGGATCCACCTCTGCCAGCACTGTACAACTTTCCTGTCCCTCCTGGGCCTGGCGTTGGGGCCAACACAGAATGAAGAACAAGCTATGGTACTTCGAATTTGCCACTTCTGAATCCATCTTCTCAACGTGCAAAAAGCTGGAGGAGTCTTTGACCGTTGAGGTGGGTGTGATGAGAGCTAACCCCACATCCCTTTCAGCTTCTTGTATCACATTAATAGTCTCACCCTCCACAGGAGCCCTCAGGAACTCACATATGCTTGAACCTATACTCTGACCTCTCAGTTCTCTAATCCTGATTTCCCAAGTTCTCAAGAAACACCGGTCCCGCATTCTCTCCACCCCTTGCAAACCTCCACATCCTAGCCTTCCCTGTACGTTACCTGGTGGAGGGAACGGGCGCGGCCATTGTGATGCCATGAGGCAAGGGTCTGTGCTCTCCCCATCTCAGATCTGTGGGAAGCCGCTGGACCTGAGCAGCCTGTCCCTGGAAGGCATCGCAGTACTGAACATCCCAAGCACACACGGTGGTTCCAATCTCTGGGGTGACACCAAGAGGCCACACGGCGACGTCCACGGGATCAACCAGGCCTTGGGTGCCACTGCCAGAGTCATCACTGACCCCGACATCCTGAAGACCTGCGTGCCGGGTAAGAGGATCGGCCTTGGGAGCTGAGTCGGGGGTGGGTGGGGCGTACTAAGGGCAAGGTATGACTCTGGCAGCACACTGCTTCTACAAAACCTATCTCCCTACTTCCCACCCCGCAGACCTAAGTGACAAGCGGCTGGAAGTGGTGGGGCTGGAGGGTGCAATTGAGATAGGCCAGATCTATACCAAGCTCAAGAATGCTGGACATCGGCTGGCCAAGTGCTCTGAGATCACCTTCCAGTAAGAAAAACTCCAGCTGGGGGGCTCTGAGGGAAGGAGTGGGGCCAGGAAGGCAGACAGGCTATGGGAATGGTAAGGAGGGCCTGTCCCAGATCTTCCTTGGTAACAGAGGGGCCCAAAGCCAACCAGGGAACAGAGTTGTGGTACTCAGCTGGCAAAGAGGTCGCCACCAATTTGTCTTGACCTTACACAGCACCACAAAAACCCTCCCCATGCAAATTGACGGAGAACCCTGGATGCAGACACCTTGTACAGTGAGTATTGCCTACGCCTGCCAGAAACTGAAGCCCCGGGCTCTATGGGTCCTAAATCTCCCTTCCATGGATTCTTCACTTCCTTCTGAGGCCTCAAGTTCTCTGTGCGCCTTCCTCCTAAATCCTGAATTCTCAGCCCCCGGCCTTCCAACTGTGGCCTCTCTAGGACCCTGGACAGATTTTCCCCCAAGTCTCTGCTGCTCTAGCCCCAAGGCACCAGGTCCTGCCTCTGAATGTCGCTCCTTCCCTTCCAGATCAAGATCACTCACAGGAACCAGATGCCCATGCTCGTGGGCCCACCTCCTCGCTCCTCCAATTTCTTTGGCTTCTTGTGCTGATGGGGACATCTCAGCCTCCAGGCCAGCTGTGAAGCTCCTTGTCCCTGGACTGTCCTACCCAGGCTCTGTAAATTGCTGCCACACCCTCCTGCCAGCTCAGGGGGGTGTTCCTCCACCCTCACAGTATTTATTATCCTGCACCACGTCCACTACCCCCCACGCATACATGCACCTGCACACACACAAATAACACATTGAAAGTGCCTCATCTGAATAAAATGAACTTTTTTCCCCACTGGGATATCTGTTAAGTAAGTGGTACACCTCCTTCCTTTATCCCTCCCCTCCTTAAGTAACATAGATTCTTCCAGAAACAAGGAAATAACAGCATCAGGTTCTGAGTCTTTATTTCAGGCAGTGGTAGTCTCTGAGGCAGACCAGAGAAAAGACAGGCCTCGTTCTCCACCTGGGTAAATCATGACATCACATAAGAGCTCTCAGACCTGCTGCCGGCTGAGGAGGGGTCTGCTCTCACCAACGGGGCAGGAGCGGAAGACCCAGGGCAGACGCAGCCACGGGGCTCCACCATTTGGCAGCTGGGGATGGGGGACTGCTGAGCCTTGCCTCGTAAGTCTTTGCCTGATACGGGGAGAAAAGCAGGGATAGTGGTCAGTGGTGGTCGATGGCAGCCTCTTTGTGCTTCTCCCAGAGAAAGGCTAAACCGTAACCCAGGTTGACTTGGCTTTGATCCTGGCTGCCTCCTCTTCTCACCAACAGGGTTTATCCTCTCTTACGTTTCTGGAAAGCTCTGACCATTTCCCTCTCACCCTACATGCTTCCTGGCTTTGGGGACCTCAGCCCTCCGGGCCTGGGGATTTGCCTTTCCGGCAGGTGGAGAACGCAGCTCACCAGCCTCCTCCACTGTTGATATTATTCATAACAACAGCCATTAAGGCCATCATTTATTGCATTTTTGTTTCAGAACCAGGTGATTTACTCACATTGTCTGGAGCCCTGACAACAGCCCCACAGGACGGGTATTAGGTTCCCTACTTGTCAGAGGCTCAGAAGGGTTAATCGACTTCCCCAGGGTCCCACCAGCAAGACTGCAGGCTAGACCTGTTGAACTCCCAAGTCTGGGCTCTTTCCTGGACTCTGCACTTTCCCAAAGGGGTTGGTGTCTCTTCCCTGAGGAGAAGTGGTGGTGCTAAGGGGTGAGGGGGTGGGAGCGGGATGGCGGGGATCTCACCTGTATATCAGAGATGCCAGCAGCAAAGCTGTCAGCACCAGCAAGATGCCCGCGAACAGAGGAGCCTGCCTGAGGCCTGCTTCTTGACCTATGGGTGGAACCCCAGATGCGGCTACATTCAGTGTCTGCTACCTCTAGTAGTGACCTCTACCATCTCCCCGTGTCTTCATCCTACCTCTTGTCCAACTACCTACCAGGCATGACAAGCTGGGTGCTGACCATCGCCAGGCTGTTGGCATCAGCCAGAGACACATTGAGGCAGTAGGTCCCTGAGCCGCCCTTCAGTACCTGGTGCAAAACCAGCTGGCAGGCTGGGCTGGGGGGCACAGGCTGACACAGCCGCTGCGCCGGCGGCTGACACCCTGGCGATGAGATGTCCATGCAGGCTTCCTTGGGTAGCCTGGGAGAGACGCCAGCTTACATCAGGGAATCTGGGAAGGGACACTAGACCCCAGAGAACAGGGCAGCAGTCACCCCAGGAGTTCTCAGGGCAACCGTGGGACACTCACCCGCCTTGGCAAGACACAGTCAGCTCAAATGCATCTCCTTCGCTGGATGACACAGCCTGTAGGATCTCAGCACTCTCAATACCCTCTGCAAAGTTGCAAGATTTTAAGTCAGACTCCTGTACTTACCCTCCCCCAAGGCCCATGGACAGGAAGATCCTCGGGCTGCCTCCCCAGTCCCATTCTCCTGCCTTCATATGAAACCCCTGGGATTTGGGTATTCTCCTTGTCCAGGTGAGTAATTCCTTCCAAAGTGTGCTTCCACTGGGCAACCCTAAGCAGCACACGCCTCCCTCCACCAGCTCACGGACAGTGTAGGCAAGACTCACGGACAATATCCAGAGTGAGGGAAAAGGAGCCATAGCGATACAGAACACAGTCCAGGGGGGCTTGGCGCTTCACCAGGACTAAGGAGGCGGTGTCATCTGGCAGGGGGCTCAGGGGGCCTGGCACGAGAGGATTAAAGAGGCAACGTCAAGAAACAGATGACTAACCTGAAAACAGGCCCAACATGCATTTTCCCAGGTAGAGTCAGAGCTACTGGATCCAGGCTTAGAATCAGACAAGAGCTGGGAACTCTCCTTTTTTTAGATAAAGAAACAGGCCCAAGAGAAATGAGTGCCCCAGAGTCACAGTTAGGGTTAGCGTTGGCATTTTAGAAATCCCAAATGTTAATCACACCCTACACTGTGCCAGGTCCTGGGTCAGACATTTGACACGTGTTAAGTCATTCGAGTGTTGCTGTCTCACTCCTCCCTTTTCAGTGTTCCTACCACAATTCCAGGTAAACCTGCTCTGGGATGGGAATCCAGACCTCTAGTAGTGACCTCTACCATCTCCCCGTGTCTTCATCCTACCTCTTGTCCAACTACCTACCAGGCATGACAAGCTGGGTGCTGACCATCGCCAGGCTGTTGGCATCAGCCAGAGACACATTGAGGCAGTAGGTCCCTGAGCCGCCCTTCAGTACCTGGTGCAAAACCAGCTGGCAGGCTGGGCTGGGGGGCACAGGCTGACACAGCCGCTGCGCCGGCGGCTGACACCCTGGCGATGAGATGTCCATGCAGGCTTCCTTGGGTAGCCTGGGAGAGATGCCAGCTTACATCAGGGAATCTGGGAAGGGACACTAGACCCCAGAGAACAGGGCAGCAGTCACCCCAGGAGTTCTCAGGGCAACCGTGGGACACTCACCCGCCTTGGCAAGACACAGTCAGCTCAAATGCATCTCCTTCGCTGGATGACACAGCCTGTAGGATCTCAGCACTCTCAATACCCTCTGCAAAGTTGCAAGATTTTAAGTCAGACTCCTGTACTTACCCTCCCCCAAGGCCCATGGACAGGAAGATCCTCGGGCTGCCTCCCCAGTCCCATTCTCCTGCCTTCATATGAAACCCCTGGGATTTGGGTATTCTCCTTGTCCAGGTGAGTAATTCCTTCCAAAGTGTGCTTCCACTGGGCAACCCTAAGCAGCACACGCCTCCCTCCACCAGCTCACGGACAGTGTAGGCAAGACTCACGGACAATATCCAGAGTGAGGGAAAAGGAGCCATAGCGATACAGAACACAGTCCAGGGGGGCTTGGCGCTTCACCAGGACTAAGGAGGCGGTGTCATCTGGCAGGGGGCTCAGGGGGCCTGGCACGAGAGGATTAAAGAGGCAACGTCAAGAAACAGATGACTAACCTGAAAACAGGCCCAACATGCATTTTCCCAGGTAGAGTCAGAGCTACTGGATCCAGGCTTAGAATCAGACAAGAGCTGGGAACTCTCCTTTTTTTAGATAAAGAAACAGGCCCAAGAGAAATGAGTGCCCCAGAGTCACAGTTAGGGTTAGCGTTGGCATTTTAGAAATCCCAAATGTTAATCACACCCTACACTGTGCCAGGTCCTGGGTCAGACATTTGACACGTGTTAAGTCATTCGAGTGTTGCTGTCTCACTCCTCCCTTTTCAGTGTTCCTACCACAATTCCAGGTAAACCTGCTCTGGGATGGGAATCCAGCGGTGGGAAATGGTGTCAGAAACTGAGAAAGATTTCTGTGCATTTACACTTAATCAGAACAGGAGGTATAAGTATTATCTAATGGTCACATGTTGGACTCCCCTGGTGGCTTGTAGACGGTGAAGCGTCTGTCTACAATGAGGGAGACCCAGGTTTGATCCCTGGGTCGGGAAGAGCCCCTGGAGAAGGAAATGGCAACCCGCTCCAGTCCTCTTGCCTGGAAAATCCCATGGACGGAGGAGCCTGGTAGGCTGCGGTCCATGGGGCCGCTACAAGTCGGACACGACTGAGCGACTTCACTTTCAATGATCACATGGGGCTTTCTAGGTGGCTCAGGGGTGAAGGATCCACCTGCCAATGCAGGTTTGATCCCTGGGCAGGGCAAATCCCCTGGAGAAGGGAATGGCCCAGTATTCTTGCCTGGAGAATTCCATGGACAGAGGAGCCTGGTGGCCATAGTCCATGAGGTCGCCAAGAGTCAGACATGACTGAGCACCACCGTCACAGACTGCTCCCTGAACTTTTCTTCAAGGAACAACTCTTTTCAGGGATAGAGAAGCAATAAGCTCTCTCCCCATGGCCTAGGAGGAGACCCTGGTTTCCTGAACTCTGGATCTATTCTGTGCCATTAAGAGAGACTTAGGGGGTTTTAAAACCAGGAAGATCCTCCTGAGGGGACTCCACTGCTAAGCTAAGGATCGGGTAACATCTGGGTCCTGAGTAATTCAGGTCTTCAGAGCAGTGACAAATGCCCACCTCCATGAACTCACTCATGGTGGCCCCCTTACCTGCAATACCTTCTCTAGGCATGAATGGGCTGGTACTTGAACCCGCAGGCTCAGGAGTGGACATCTCTCCAGCTGTGGTCTCCGCCAGCTCTGGGGCTGTTCCCTGTGTAACCGTGGTTCCAGAGGGCTCTGTAGATGACACTTCAGGTGCCGTAACTGAAGCCTCTGCAGTTGGCATCTCTGCTGGTGCGGTACCTAAGACTTGGGAGGTTGCCACCTGCTCAGGTGTGGTACCTACAGTCTCTGCGGTTGGAGCCTGCCCAGCTGTGGTCCCAGGGGCCTCTGCAGTTGGCACCTGGCCAGGTGTAGTGTCTGTGACTTCTGCAGTAGGCACTTGGCCAGCTGTGGTCCCAGGGGCCTCTGCAGTTGGCACACGCCCATCTGTGGTGCCTGGAACTGGAGAGGAGCCACAGGCGAGAGGAACGGCAGCCTGCAGCACCACCTGTGCAGTGACTGGGCCAGACTCTAGGTAGGTGTGAGTGACCACGAGTGCCCGAGAGATCAGGGTCCCTGTGCTGTCTCCAAAGTCCCAGGTGTAGGAAAGGTCAGCCCCAGCCAAATAGCCACTGGGGTCATGGAGCTGGAGGGCAAAGGTCAGAGGCTGCTTTTTCAGGAAGCGCTTGTTCCTTCCATCCAAGGCCTGCAGCTGAGACACACTCACGGAGAAGGGCACCTGGTCTGGGATTGGAGTCAGAGAAAGTGAGAACCTTAAGTTCTTCCTTCTTTCAGCTTCTTCTTTCACAGCCATAGTTTTCAACCAACCCAAGCTGCCCGGCCCTTCACGGGCTCCAAGCCCCACATCCCTCTGCCCACACCGTCCTGGTTCTGCCCCCGCAAGGTTACACGCCATTTCCTCCTTCCCCTTTCCTGTCCAGCCCAGCCTCCCCACCCTCTCCTGCCCTGCAACTGGCCTTGTCCCCTCCTCAGTCCTTACCAGTGACGGTGAAGGCTGAGCTGGAGCGAGCGAGGGGCACGTAGCTCCGGGGCCCCCGGCGGTGGTAGACGGTCACTTCCATGTTATGTGTGCCCGGCACTGCCCTGTCCGTCCCAATGCTCAGTCCAGACACTGGGCCCCCCAGAACTTGCCAGTATTGGTCTGAGGTTTTTGGAAAGAAGAGTAGGGAAGGGAGTTACTGGTCAAAGGGGACTGGGGCAGGGTTAGAGACAGGGAACCAGAGAAGGAAGGTCAGGAGATGTATCAAGGATGGTTATTTCAGAGACTGTTTGTAAGCCTGCATATGTTGGGCAGGAAAGGAGTCCTTATGAGAGGGTCCATGGGATGGGACTATAATTGGAGCAGGGCTCCCAGAAAGAAGTATAATAGAATTGACTAGGTGCTGTGGAAGAGGAAGGACTCCTTGGGATCCTTCACTCCATGGGGGAAGTGAAGATTAGGGAAACTCACAGAATTAGGGATGGGACCAAAAGAAAGAGGATTAGGTAGGAAGAACTGAATTCAAGTGTGAATGACAGGCCAGAGACGGGAGACTCTTACCCCAGGTCTTCCAGACATAAACAAAGCATCTTTTCTGAGATAGAGGGCCAGAAGGGCAGGCACCCCCATCAGGGAAGATGCAGGTATCATCAGGCTCTTGGGGATATACCAGCTGTCCTCCCCACACCTGGCTCCCTGAAAAGAAGATACCAAGTCTCCCTCAATCCCTGGCATTCCTTACTGTACACCAAAACCTTTAACATGACTCCCAGAGAGGGGCTCTGGGAATACTGCCTAGCTACCAATATACATTCTCCTTGGTATAAGCTATTTGGAGTGGTAGAAGGGAGAATGGGAACTATACTTAGATTCCTATGTATATACTTAAGGGGCTTCCCAGGTGGCTCAGTGGTAAAGAATACACCTGCTGCTGCAGGAGACACAGGATCAATCCCTGTGTTGAAAGATCCCCTGGAGGAAGAAATGGCAACCTGCTCCAGTATTCTTGTCTGGGCCATCCCATGGGCAGAGGAGCTTTCGCAGGCTACAGTCCATGGGGTCGCAAAGAGTCAGATGCGGCTGAGCCACTGAGCACACATGCATGTTCTTACACTGGACACAGATTGGCAGGCCCTGTTTCAACATGTCTAGGATGATGTGCTCTAGCTAGTGGGATAAAAGTAAAACTAACGGCATCCACTAATACTGAGTTGGGAAGATCCCCTGGAGGAGGGCATGGCAACCCACTCCAATACCCTTGCCTGGAGAATCCACATGGACAGAGGAGCCTGGTGGCTCCAGTCCCTGGGGTTGCAGAGCGTCTAAACTAAGCGACTGAGCACTGAACAGGGCAGGCGTTCTGCTAAAGTCTTTACATATTATCACACTTTCATCCTTACAACAACCTTTTAAAGTGCTATCATCCCCATTCTATAGATAAGGGACTGGAAGCACCAAACAATTCAGTGACTTGCCCAGGGTCACATACTGGTCACCAGTTTAAATCCAAGTCTATCCAACTTCTGTGTCCACTGCGTCTTCTGTGCCCCATTTGGGGAACTATGATTTTTTTTCTTTTTGCTTTATCTACGTTTTCTAAGTTTTCTGCAGTGAATATGTGTTACATATATAATTTGTTTAAAAAAAAAAAAGAAAAAAAAGAACGGGGGGAGGATTCCTTGACCTCTTCAGGGACACCAGGGATTCTGGACCTTGGGAAGGAGGCCTGGAGCACAGAGGCACTCACCATTGACGACGGTGTTGTTGGCCCAGACGACCCGCCCATCCGGCAGCACCTTTTGGCTTTTAGGAAAGTGCAAGGCAATAGAGAAGGAGGCATTTGCCCCAATCAACGTAGGCCCATCGTTGCTGACCTTCAGGGATACACGGCCACCTAAAAAGGGCAGCTATGTTAGCTGGAACTCCTTGGCTTCTCCTCCCCGTACGCCTTTTCCTTTCCTATCTTCCCAAGTACATTCAACTCCGTTCCCCTGCCCTCCCCATTTCCCCCGCGTCCTCCCTGGAGACTGCCCAGTTCATACCTCGCCAGCAGTCAGGCCCCGGGCTTTCTGTCCACTCTGGGTACAGCTGTCTGTTCCATGCTTTAACTCTGAGCTGCCTTGAGACACCAGGCCAGTCCCCGTCTCTGGGTCCTAAAAAGGAAGATATACTATGAGGGCCCTCAAATCATTACTCGCTCCCTTCTCAGGGGACCACACTGTCTGTGACACATCATTCATTCTCACATTTAAAGTGCATTTAAAAAATATATTTATTTAACTGTGCTAGGACTTAGTGGCAGCATGAGGGAGCTTCGATTAGTTGTGGCGTGTGGGCTCAGGTAGTTGTGGCATGCACACTCCGAGTTGTGACCTGTGGGACCTAGTTCCCTGAGCTGAGAGTGAACCCTGGTCCCCTGCACTGGGGGCACAGAGCCTTCGCCACAACAAGGGGAGTCCCTTAAAGTGCATTTTAACCTACTGGATACCCACCACGTACCAGGCACTGGGCTAGGTGCAAAAGAACTTAAGAAATGAAAAAGAAATGGTTCTGAAGGGGTTCAGGTTAAAATATATGAAATAGACATATACATAAATTGGTATAATTCAAGGCATTGCTTAAGATGAGCCATAATAGACATGCACAGTGTATAACAAAATGATAGATTTAAACAGGTAAATTGCACTCTGGTCGACTGGGGAAGACTCAGTAAATAGTTGGCCTGGGGCATAAAGCATTCTAGGCAGAAGGCCCAGCATGAGCAGATGCAGGGAAGTCTGGAAACACGTGGCATGATAGGAGGCCACCGGCAAGTGGCCGATGTGCATCGTGAGAGATGAGGCCAGGAGAACGGAGTGGGGGCTTTGAGTGCCAGGCTAAGGAGTTTGGACTTGATCCTGCAGGCGAGGGCACCTCAGATGATTTTGTTTGTTGTATTGAGATATGTCACGTGCCATAAAATTTACCCTTCAAAAGCTTTTTGAATATGATCAGATTTGTGTTTTAGAAGGATCACTTTGGCAGGCAGTGAGGAGGATGGACTAGAGGCAGGTAGAAATCGGGAGTGAGGACAAACAAGATTATTATAACTGACCAAGAAAGAGGTCTGAAAAAAAGTGATGTGATGGCTCTGCACATGCCTCCCCCAGGTCCAACAACTATCAACACTTTGTCACATTTGCTTTCTCTATCCTTCATTTTTATTGTTTGTTTGTTGGCTGAAGCATTCAAAAGCAAATCCCAGACACCATGCTATTTTAAAAACCTACAAATTCAGTAGGTTTCTGGAAAAAAAAAAAAAAAGAATACTTTCTTAAATAAACACAATGTTAATTCACACTAGACAAAATTATCAAATTCAGTCCATGCAAAATTTCATGAAATATATAAAAATGTCTTCTTGGGAGGGGGGATTGGGATGGGGAACACATGTAAATCCATGGCTGATTCATGTCAATGTATGGCAAAAACCATTACAATATTGTAAAGTAATTAGCCTCCAATGAATAAAAATAAATGGAAAAAAAATGTCTTCTTATGATTTTAAAAATCCGGATCCAGAAAGTAAGCACAATATTTTAAGAGCCTTGGGTGGACACATATGAACAAAATATTTCCAGAATACAATAATGAACATAGTAAAAGAAAAAGACTTGAAATGACACCATAAATGAGGGAAGTCAGATCAAGAAGAAGTTCCAAGAAGTCTGTGAGACCAGGGATCTAGAGAAAGAGGGCACTGGGGTACAGTGTAGGTATTTCTGCGCATCACCATCTATCCTCACTCTGCCTCTAAAATGTACCAGAAACCGGGCTGATTCTTCTGGGGGAGGATCTAGAATCATCCCGCTGAATATCTCACCACAAGAACAAGAGAATCATAAGATGCCCCATTCTTTCTCCACTCCCAATCCTCCCTCCTCAGAGCAGCACGGGACATTCCAGACCCTCTCACCACCCCCACCCCCAGCCCTTGGTCCTGTCACGAGGCCCCAATCCCCCAGAGCCCTTTCATGTGATGCTCAGCTGAGACCCCTCTGCCTGTCTCTTCCAGCCCCAGAACAAAAGCCTGGGTTGTGTTCACCCATGCCCATCCCAAAGAGGGGATGAGGTGCCTCTTTACCCTTCTATCCAGTGCCACAGTCTCTTTCTCCTCACTTTAAATAACCTATCCCAAGTGCCTGAGGCAATGCCTAAATGAGTTTCCACTCATTTTACTACCTTGGCACCCACGCTCCAGCTCACTATTCAGAGCATCTCAAAATTAGGGCCACAGGGACATACTGTTCTCTCATCCTTCCAGGTAGATGGGATTGTTTTCAGGTTCAGTCCCAAGTGCCTGAACACACACGCACCCAAATATTCACGTGGGGAGGGAGCTCAGTTGCCCATGTCCTCACCAAATCAAATGGGTGGGAGACACCTGAAGCGCTGCTTACATCTTCCATTTTAGGGAGAGAAAAACCAGAGCAAGTGTGCAAACCCAAGTTCACACTTGTTCATGTCCACACATCCCACACTCACCTTCTGTGGCCCCTACAGCCAGAACAACACCCATCAGAGCCACATGGAGAAGGGATTTTCTCAGCACCAGATCCATCCTGTTCTTCCTTCCAGCAACCAAAGACTCTGGGGTATTGGACAAACCCCTGTATAAGAAGAGGGTGCTCATTTGCATAGCCCTTCCTCCCCTCCCTCCAGGCAAATCCTGGGAGGAGCAGAATGACCTGAGAAAGGCAGAACGAGGAGGGATCCTGGTCCCCGGACATCCTGCTGCTCATTGACAGTTTGTGGCTTTCCAGGGTCAGTCTCATCTTAAAGCACTCCATCTCCCCTGGGGGGAAAAATGACTGAAGGGCAGCTACAAAACGTAACACGTACCGGACACACACAGTTCATCACTGGAGAGTGGATCAATCTATTGTGAGTAAAACCAGGAACCTCTCAAAATAACTGTAGAAGCAGTGACCCTGGATCCAAAAATAGACAGTATTGGAGTAGGTTGAGAGAAGCGGGACCACGACTCTTTGGAGCCCCAGGAAACGCTCACAGTGAGATTTCCAGTTGCCTGCTTTCGGAGGAGGTTCCAGGGCGAGGTGGAATTTAATCTTAAGTCAATACATATTTTCCTAGGGGTCGTGAAAACGGCGAATTAGAGATCAGGAAATCCCTATAGACTCAGGACACAAGGAGGAAACTCGATCCCGAATCAGATACTTGGAAAAAGGTGTTCAGCCTCCCCACCCGGATAAAAATTTATCATTAACACTCCTCGGAACCAAAGTTGCTCGGGGTGGGGTCGTTTGCAGCGAGGGACGCAGGGATGGCACCGCCCTCTCTGACGTGGACCAATAGGAAGGCCTGAGGGAGGAGCCAGGGAAACGCGGGAAGGAGAGGCGGGGCTTCTGGTGGCGGTAGGGAACTGGAGGGGGAGGCGGCAATATTGTTTCAAGTTGGACAAATTGACAAGAGCGAGAGATACCCTGCGTTCCATCCCGACCTCGGGTCGCGGTGCTGGGCCGTGTTTCCCTCCTCGGCCCCCGAGAGCTGGGTGCCGTTTTCTGCAGGGTTCCCAGGCCCCCGCTCCAGGGCCGGGCTGACCCGACTCGCTAGCGCTTCATGGAGAACTTCCAAAAAGTGGAAAAGATCGGAGAGGGAACGTACGGAGTTGTGTACAAAGCCAAAAACAAGTTGACGGGAGAAGTGGTGGCGCTTAAAAAAATCCGCCTGGACACGTGAGTGGCCTCTGTACCCGGGACTCCTGACTCGGGAGCTCCTTGAGTGCCCCCACCCCCACCGCAACAGGCGGGTAGCCTCCCAGGGACCGGAAGGTAGCAGGGAGGGAAGCCTTTTGAAGTGGAGAGGTGGGTTGAAGGACGAGTAGAGGGTTTCCCGGTGGAGACTATAGGGTAGTGTCGAATCCACGGGAAATTTCCTCCCCAAAGGCGGGCGACGTCCCCAAATGTACAGTCAGAAAGAGTCAGGAAGAGGAAGGAGCCTTTGGAGATGGGATCCAGGACTCCCCGACGAGGAGATGGGTTTTGTGATAAGCGGTAAAGAGTACCCTTACACATGACTAGACGAGCCCGCAGTGCCCCAGCCCCACCCGCATCTTAGAATTCTCTTTTTCAAAAGAACGGCAGTTGAACCTCTAGAGAGGCTGGGTGCTGTTACTCCCCCCCACACACACACTTTTATCCCCCTTTTTAACTTCACCTCCACCAAGAGGCTTTGCTAACCTAACCCTGGGCAAAGAAGAAATGGTGATCCTAATGTGTCTAAAAGGCCACTCCTGTCCATCCATGAATTAACCCCTGAAGCACCCTTTCTCTCATTTTCTTAGGGGATGCTGGGATGGTGGGGGCCAGGGGCGGGGTGGGGGGGATGACTGTACGGAGGGAAGAGGAATATTTGTAACCACATTCCCATCTCTGCTTTCCCAACTTCTGCAAGTGAGACAGAGGGTGTACCCAGTACTGCCATACGAGAAATCTCTCTGCTTAAGGAGCTTAATCACCCTAATATTGTCAAGTAAGTATGTATCTGGGAGGTAGGAGGTGCTCTGACAGTAAAGGAGGAGTGTCGTCTGGGCCTTTCTCTCCCTCACACGTATTCCTGGACCTCCCCCTTCCCTAGGCTGCTGGATGTCATTCACACAGAAAACAAACTCTACCTGGTTTTTGAGTTTCTGCACCAAGATCTCAAGAAATTCATGGATGCCTCTACGCTCACCGGCATCCCTCTTCCGCTCATAAAGGTACGCCTTCTCATCAACTCCTCCCCAACATGGGCATGTCTTGGGGGGAATGAAGGCAGGCAATCCGACTGAGTGTTGATTTGTCATCCTGGCTTCCTTCTCAGCCCTCACCCCCCTACACACACACACACACACACACACACACACACACACACACCTTTTCTTGTGGCTCCTTCACTGCTCATTATGCTTTCAACCCTAGGGCTGGGCAGGGGAATCAAAGAAGTTGAAACTCTAGTGAGTCAACTGAGCAGCTCAGGTGGAAGGTTCTTGAGATGAAACTCAGATAAGTAGGACTGGGGGGTACTTGGTAGATGCCTCCAGAAAACCCTTCCACCTGTTTGGTGGGAGAAATAGCCAGTGAGTCTCCGTTGTCCATTTTTTCTGGTTCCTTACTCCGGAAGCTACTTTCGATCAACAAACAAACATTTATCCAACACACATTTATTGAACACCTCCAATGTGCAGGACCCACGATATGGAACATAAATGCAAAACTGAATGAGACCTGATCTTATCCTCACTGATTGACAGTCCAATTGGAGAAATAGCTTGTAAACATATAATTACAATTTAACTAGTAAAGGCTTTAGTAGGACTTTGGAGTTACAGAGGAGACCCTAATCTGCTCACCGTGCTGGAAAACCCCGGTTTTCCTCTCCCCTTGTCAGAGCTACTTGTTCCAGCTGCTCCAGGGCCTAGCTTTCTGCCACTCTCATCGGGTCCTGCACCGAGACCTTAAACCTCAGAATCTGCTTATCAACGCCGATGGGTCCATCAAGCTAGCAGACTTTGGACTAGCCAGAGCTTTTGGGGTCCCTGTTCGTACTTACACCCACGAGGTGAGTCCTCCTCTGCATGTCTTTTCTGAACTTCCTAGGAGGTGTTGACAAGGACATTCACAGAGTTTTTAGTAACGATCTGGCCAGCAGTTTCTCACTAGATGGAAAGTATCTCTGACACCCCAAGAGGTCTTAGAGTATGCACAGAGTTCATATATTGATACATACCGAGCCAGGGGACAGGTGGATGGCATGAAATGTAAAATTATGACCGCCTGCCTCAAGTCTTCCAAGAAGGTTGCAAATTGGGGGTTCAGAATATATGTTCCCCAGAACCATGGATTAGGCTAACTCTGGGCTAACAAGTTGTACCCAGTTATTTTACTTAGGGGCAATGAGAGGGGAGGGAAGGATGGCAGGATAGAAGCTGCTTGTTAAGAAACTGAGTTAGCAGAATAGTGCTTAGGAACTGACGTGTGGGTATCTTCATGTCCTATGCTCTTGTCCTCAGGTGGTGACTCTGTGGTACCGAGCACCAGAAATCCTTCTGGGCTGCAAATACTACTCCACAGCAGTGGACATATGGAGCCTCGGCTGCATCTTTGCTGAGATGGTATGGAGGCATGCCCATGGCCTACCCAGCCCACTCCTTCCCACATTCAAGAACAACAGAACTGTTTCTTGGCCCAGACCCATGGTCCTTCTCTTATCATAGGGCTCTTCCTCTAGAGTAGCACAAAGGGGGTGGTGGAGAAAGGAGACGGCTGTCATCCCTGTTGTCAACCGCAATGTTAGGACAGCCTCAGACAGCTTAGCATCCAGTATACAAATCTTATCTCCAAACCGAGCTAAATCATTTCTGCAACTGCGCTAGCTTTAGCCTACATATATTTGGGAAAATAAGTTCCATTTAGCATCTCCTTCATTTGCCTGTAGACCTTATTTTAGGGCATTAGAAAGTGGTGAGGCTAGCTGTATTCACCTTATCCACACCTTTTATTTAAACTGCAGACATGTCCCCCCTCAACCTCTGGCTTTTCAGATTGAAGGATCCCTGAGGCCCAGCCTTATAAGGGAGCTCTCATTACCTTTAATACAACAGTGGAGTGAGCTGAGTTTTCAAATCAAATCAGCAGTATGTCTTATGGTCCCTTATCTGGGTTGTAACTGGGGGCATGGAGACCATTAGCCCATATATATAACATGCATTTATCCCCCAGTGCAATACTTTACAATTGCCCATATACGTCTCTCAATTCATCAAAAAATATTTGTTAAGCACCTAGTGTGTACCCAGCACCATGCTAGGTGCTGTGGGGAACACAGAAGAAATGGAAGACACAGTCTCTGCCCGCTGTGCTCCTATCTAGAAGTGGCTGCATCACAAGGAGGGGGGATGACCGCAGTGTCTACCCCATACCCCGTGAGTGGCTTGACATCCCTTTGCTACATGTCAGTGGCACCCCAGACATTCACCCCCTCCCAGCCCCACCCAGCCTTGGGGATCTGCAAAACCATGGTTGGGGGAAGGAAGGAGGGGGCGAGGAGGCAGATGAAGGGACTTCATTGTCTCAGGCTCTGTGTGACTGAGCCCATGAAAGACCTGGGGAGGGAGTCATGGGGCCCTGCTGACCTTCCACTGCCTGTGGGAAGCTCCATTATCCATTGGGCAGCTCTGATTGACGTCAGTGTCGGTCCTGGCCTTTCCCCTTTCCCCATCTTCAGGTGACCCGCCGGGCCCTATTCCCCGGAGATTCTGAGATCGACCAACTCTTCCGGATCTTTCGGACCCTGGGAACCCCAGATGAGGTGGTTTGGCCAGGAGTTACTTCTATGCCGGATTATAAGCCAAGTTTCCCCAAGTGGGCCAGGCAGGATTTTAGCAAAGTGGTGCCTCCCCTGGATGAAGATGGACGGAGCTTGTTATCGGTGAGGCTAGGGAGTGGGCATCCATTTCCCCTTGTTCCCTCCCCCAGGGCAGGGTTTTTCTAGCATGAAGGAAGAATGAGGCCCTGGACTCCTGGTCTCAGCATTTCCCTTGTCTCTGCTTCCCTCTTGTTGGTGTACCCATTAGATATAGGGAGGAGGAAAGGGGAGCTGGGGGTGAAAGGAATTCTGTTTCCCAATTTCTCAATACTTGCTGCACATTTAGTCCATTACCACATTACTGAAGTCAGCATGCATCTCTCCCTCCAGCAAATGCTGCACTACGACCCTAACAAGCGGATTTCAGCCAAGGCAGCTCTGGCTCATCCTTTCTTCCAAGATGTGACCAAGCCAGTACCTCACCTTCGACTCTGATCGCCTTCTCAAGCCCCTGCCCCCAGTATCACCCTCTTCTCCAGTGCGAGTGTGATCTGGCTTGGCCCAGGCTCTTAGCGCACTGATCTTATCTGGTTGCCTTAGCACTCACCTGCGCCTCTTAGCCAGTCCACTCTGGAATGATGGGGTGGAGGGAAGAAATAGGTGGAATTGAAAGGACGCTTCAGTATTAGATGCACTTAAGTCAGCCTCCACTCCCCTCTCTCCCTCCTCTTAGTCGTTGCTTAAGAGGGCTGATATTTTTAAAAAAGACAAAAAATAAAAGACTTTCTCCTCCATCCACATAGGTTTGCCTTCCCAGTCTCTGAAAGCCCCCTATTATTATTTTCTGTATCTGGGATGATTAAAGACCCCAAGCCTCCAGAGCCACGGTTGTAAGGCCAACTGACAGCACTGGGGGCTAAGATGGAACCTTTGAAAACCAAGCAAAACAAAAACATTATGGAGGGGCCTGTTTTAAAGAATTCGGTTTAAAAAAAATAGATCCAACTGGTTTCTACCCTAGTTTTAGTGTTTCATCTCACCTAACATCTGGGAGACTCAGGACTCCCAGTCTCTGCAGTCCCAGCGGGGCTGCAGTAGAAACATGGCTCCTAGGCTTCCTGCCTGTCCCTCCTCTGGGCGAGGTGTGTCTAGGAGGCTCTGGGACAGGGACTGTGCTTCACCTTGGCCTTATGAGGCAAGTGAAAGGTGTTTGAATTTTTCTCTTCTTTTTAAGATTCTTAAGGTGCTAGGTCCCATCTTCCTCTGAAGGCCACCCCGTAAGAGTAAAAGTTAAGGTTGAGACATCATTTTGAGAATTCTGACACTTAGGGCTGTGACTGAGTGGGGATATTGGGGGGAAATATTTCTTTAAAAGAAGGATGAACAATTATATTTATATTTCAGGTTATAGTATAGTAGTTTTTTAAGTGGGAATGGGTGGGGATTGTTGCCATGTGCACCTTGGGGTTTGTAATGCAAATATGTTGTGGTGTTTTTTTTTTTAAAGCTTTTTTTCATGATTTTGTCTCTCTTCTCCCACTTTTGTCCTTGAGTGTTCTTGCTGTTAACATTATTTGTAATTTAGTTTGTAACTGATTAAAAAGTTCCTAGTTTTACAGTTAATCTCTTTCCTCTTTTGTGTATTTACTGAAAGTATGGTGTGAGAGAGAATATGGATGTGTGTATGTGATAATAGATTTCAGACCCCTCTTAATCTGAGCACGGCTACCCACCCCACTCCATTTCAACCTCTGTGATGCAATGTGATCCTGTGCGGGTGGGCGAAGCGGGAATTAATGCCCCCATTTTACGGCTGGGGAAAGTGAAGCTTACGTATTTCCTCCTTCACTTTCCCCTAAACCTGCGCGTCTCACCACCCTACCCACCACCCATATCACACACACATACATACAAGGTCCAGTTCGAGATTTGCAATGTCTATTAGGGCTCAGGAGCAGGACGACGTTGGAAGTGGGCTCCAAGGGAATTCGCATTGACGCTGCGTTTCCCAGTAAGTTTGCCTTTTTTTTTTCTTTTCTTTTTGCATATCACAGAGTTTTTCAAATATACTTATTCACATTTACATATGATTCTGAATATATCAACCGTCTGTATGAAAATTATTGTTAAGGGGCTGAAGCCTCACCAAACTACCAGCTCTTGGACCTGCCACTGTCTCAGCTCACCAGAAAACGTCTCAGACTGCCCGAGGGCCAGCCCCGAAATGCCTGTGCTCTGAGGCCCCAGCCAACAGGAGGAAGCACCGACGAGAAGGCTGCTTAAATTCCCAGGCTCCGGGTCCTTCGGAGAGGTATTTCCCTTCACGCCCGCGAGTTTGTCATCGAAGGCGGGGCGCTGGAGGCAGCCCCAGTCCAACCCCGAGGGAGGGGCGAAGGTCAGTCGCGGCGTTCCTGAGGCCTCTTTCAACCCTGCCTTGCCTGCCATTCAAGTCCCAACTTTTCGCAGCACTGGTTGAAGTTTCACTTTGACCCGCCTCCATCGCTCACCTGATTAGATGTTTATGAGTTAAAAGGCGGGGTCATGAGGGCATCACGATGTTATTGGTTAAAGTACACGCCTATCAGCAGGGCACCGCCCCCTGTCTTGAGGCGCTCACCCTTTAGTGGCTCCTCGCCTCGTCCATCCTCAAGGTTCCCTCACTGTATTGGTCTGGGGGCGGGGTCATGAGGGCATCACGATGTTATTGGTTAAAGTATACGCCTATCAGCAGGGCACCGCCCCCTGTCTTGAGGCGCTCGCCCTTTAGTGGCTCCTCGCCTCGTCCATCCTCAAGGTTCCCCTCACTGTATTGGTCTGGGATCGCGCCTATCCAGTCCTTTGCGCGTACTCGTTGGTGACAGCGTCGAAAGAGACCCGCCTTTCTCCAGAGGATTGGCGGATTAGCACGCAGAGAGCCCACCCTTGATGGTAGGCGGGCAGTCGTGCAATTGGCTGGGGCCCCGCCCCAGGGCGAGGAGGAGGAGGAGGGGCAGGAGGGTTTGGTTGAGCTGCAGCTGTTTGTCTGTTCGACACAGGCTTGGGCCCGACGTGGGAGACGGAGCCCCAGGTACTGGGCTGATGGAGTCCTCAAGGGCAGGGGCGGAGGCGCCCCGGAGAGGAAAGCGGCCTGGCCTGAGGGCAGAGGCGGGTGTGGGCCTCCGCGAGGGGTTAGAATGGCCCACCGGAGAGGGGAGAAGGGGACCAGGCCCCGGCAGGCCTAATGGGGGCGCTGAGGAGGGGGCCGGGCGGGCTGGGAGCCCGAAGTTGGTGAGTCGGGGAGGCGGCCGGGAGGTGTTGGCGGCTGGGCTGGGGGCCGGCGCGGGAGGCCCGGGGCTCGTGTGCGGGCAGGGGCGGGCCTCTTTGAGTGGCGCCGGAGAGGGAGGAGCTGGGGGAAAGGGACTGGGCGGCGGGTGAGGTAAGTCCATTCGCCGGGAGGTGAGGAGGGGTCAAACCCGACGCCCAGGCCCCGAGGGGAACCGGGGCGGGACTCTCGAGAGGTGTCTTTGGAAGGGTGAGGGAAGGGCTCTTAACTGGGTAAGAGGCATTCTTTTCAGGCAAAGTGACTATTATGAAAATAACTAGGGTGCCCCAGAGTTGAGCCGAGAGGGATTTGGGCTCAGTGTGGGAGATCTGACACAAGCGAAGGAAGCGTTCCTCTTCTGGAAGACGCAGGTAGCCGGACTAGTGGAAGCAGAGCCACGAATCAGTGATGGGAGCTTCTGGGAATGCTGGGGGGTGGCCTGGGGGCCTTGGGTTTTGCGAGTTCTCGCGCTTTTGTTCTCATTGGTGTGGAGATGTGGCAAGTTGAAGTTTTCTGGTACTCTCCGGGTAGACAATGAAGACAGATTGGTTTTTGTTTTTTGTTTTTTTTTCTGTGACTGTTGGTAGTTCCCAACTCAGCCCCTACTCTCTCCCTTGCCCTCAAGCTGTTTAGGCTGCAGTCTCAGTGTTTCTTCTTACCTCCTGTTTCATGTCCTGTGAAAAAGCTAAGAAGTTGGATTTGGGGGATGTTTGTTCGTTTCTTTCCTGCTTAATAATGTGGTCTATGTTGGAGACCATATCTCTCACCTGGAAGTGGGGAATCAGTGATTCATTTTCTGCCCTAGAAATGGGCTTAGGTATCCCCAACCATCCAAGATCTTCTGACCATAGTTGGTGAAACTTTTATGGTACTTAGACTTGGGTATTTCCTAGGCAGGTAGTGATTATGTGGAATCAAGCCTGGAAATATGAGGTGATATCACAGAGGAAGGGATTTGGGGAAGAGAGAAATTCCATTCCAGAAGGTTGGCATCACCCGTTCTTTGTCTGCTTCAGGAGCCGGGGTTTCTGAGCTATTAGAAAGCTGGGTCAAACAGAGGCACTTGGGGAAGGAGGTGAGTAGAGAAAAGGAAGATGGATTTCTAAGACCCAGAGGTCCCTTCCTCCCATATATTTTTAACAGTCTACTGACCTCCTTAGTTCCCCCAATAGATGGGAGCTTATTGGATTTTCCCTTATTATACTTCCTCCTTTTTCGTTTTATACCACTGTATTTTGTAACTATTTTCTTTTTAATTAGAAAAGTGGTATGTACATGTTAAAATATCCAGGTTTTACAGAAGTGTAAAAAGTGTAAAACTTCCCACATACAGCCCACTCATTTCATCCAGAAAGGTCAGAGATAAGAGACAGCAGATCAAACTAATCTTACTTCATTCTGGGGGATGTGCCACCAAAGGCAGTTCTGGTTTCGTGTTCCCACCGTGCTCTGGCTTCTCCTTCTTTACAGTTTTCCCTTCTGGGATGATACTCTGTTATTTATTGTGCTCCTTTCACAGTTCATTTTGTCTTGCTTTTTATGAAATTTAGACAAGCAGAGAGCTGTACTCTGGGTTATCCCTTCACATTCTTACACAAACATACACACCCTACTTGTGCACTGCTGGGTATCCTAAGGAAATGCCCAAATAGATGGCCAGAACGTCTTTCTCTTTTATGGGCAGGAAAGAAACGTTAAAGTGAATCATTTTGTTTGGAAAAATTATTGGCATCTTTGCTAAAGTGAGGAATTTGAGATTTCTGTCTTGTGGTTCATGGTCTCTGCATGTTCAAATTATGTGACTCTCCCTTCATTATCCCCAAAGAAGATGGTGGTTCTTCTTAAAGGGCCTTTGTGTCTGTCTTTCTATAGTGATAAGAGAAGCTTCCAAATTTTTCTGCCTTTGAAATTGGTTTTCCTCTAAACCTCAACACAGCTGGGACATTTTTTTACATCACCTTATAAATTGAATTTGTCCTTGCTGGCTTTAGAAGCCCTGCGATGTGCCCAGCCTTTGTGCAGTGCCCTTGGAAACCTTGATCGTTGTCCCTCCAGAAGCTTTTGTCTTCTCTTCTACAAAGCCAGTCCTAGAGAAGATTGTGTAGATGTGTATGTGTTTTAAATCCTCAGTAGGCTTTGTCATTTTCTGCATCCTGATGGTATCCTGTCCCTTCCTTTTTTTTTTTTTTGTCCTTTTCTTCTATACATCTCTTCTTTTTTTTTTTTAATACATCTCTTCTTATCTTATCTACCTTCCCCTTAATCAAAGCCTACTTTCAAGAAAAATGATCTAAAATTGCTCCATATTAAGGTGTAAATAATGAATAGTCACTTAAAGTATTAATCCTTCTGAGAGTTTTTGCTTTTAAAGAGGGAGTTAAAGAATGGAAATTGTTAGTATAGAATTTCAAACATAGATCTGGAGTTACAAAAATATATTTGGAGAAGAGGAGCTTCCCGTTGCCCTTGAGGTCGTACCTCATCCCTTCTAACTCTTTTTGCCCAGGAGCAAGGATTGCTCTTTTACAGCTTGCTTGTTTGTGCTCACTGATATGAATTTGACTTATGAGGGAACATAGGTATGAGAAGCAAGCGCCTGCTCCCTAATCCTCCAGCATTTCAGATTGGTAACCAAAGTGTGAGACAGTGCATTTAAATTAAGGAAATGCAACAGCCTGGTTGGAGGAGGGATACCTTAAAACCCTACACAGTACACTCCTGCTTCCCAAAAGGGTGTTTTAGGAAAGATTTAGTCACTGACTGAGCAGTCACTGAGCTGAGTGAGGAGCCACCCAGGTGAGCAAAGTGTGTGCAGAGTCTAGGTCAGGTTGTAGTTTCTCTTGAGGGGCAGTGGGTGCCTTTTCAGAAGGTATGATTTTTTTTTCCTTTTTTAAACTTGTGTTTCTTAAGTTTAGGGATTAATGGAGATATTGAACCAAAGTTTTTTTTTTTAACACTTAACATTAACTGAAGATTCAGAAAACTTTTTTTTTAACCACAGTTGCCTCAATGTTACCGTGGGAGGGCTGCATGTTTGGTGTGATTAGGCCATCTGAGGCGTAGTAACGGGTGACAGGAAAAGCAGTTAGCCCATGTGAGTTGCAACAGTACCTTGCGGGCTGGGTACCAAGAGGGCCTTCTCTCCAGGGGAGATGACAAGCAGGCGAGAGAGCGATTTGGCCTATTAAAAACACTCCCAAATGGAAGTAAGATTCTATCCAGATGGCACAGAAGGGGAGGAATAGATGGAGGAAGCAAGCAGGATTGCTTTGACATTAATGAACACCTACTAGGGACACCGACATTGTGCTTTGCTCTGGAGATTGAAAATGACATAAAAAATAGTCACATTTTTTGAGAAGTTCTTAGTTTAGCAGAGCAGACAGACACAATTAAATAATGTAGTAAATGTTGTGATAAGAATGCAGTCATCTTTATTTTTTGACCATGCCATATGGCTTGTGGGATCTTAGTTCCCCGACCAGAGATTGAACCTGGGCCCAGGCAGTGAATGCCCTGAATCCTAACCACAGGACCACCAGGGAATTCCCAAGAATGTAGTCTTAATACTGTGGGATTCCAGAGGAAGCAATGGTGAATTCTCTTGGGGTGAGAGGGTAATTATGCAATTTCACAGAGAATGTGACATTTGAGTTTGTCCTTAAAAGATACATTAGGAGTTTGCTAGGCGGACAAAGTGGAGAAAGGCATTCCAGTCTTTCCTAGGTCAATATGAGGGACTTTGCAGTAAGTACCATGCTGATTAGAGATTAAGTGTGCTTTTTGGCTTTTGGGGAAATATAAGGGAGAAGATTGGAGAAGGAACTGGCAACACACTGCAGTATTTTTGCCTGGTAAATCCCACGAACAGAGAAACCTGGTAGGCTACACAAAGTCAGACACAACTGGAGCTACTGAACAGCAAGGGAGAGGGTAAGGGGAAGTGGAAAACTCTCTTTTAAGCCCGTGACTCATTGGTTAACATTGGATCAGCACAATGAGCCAAGCAGTGTAATTCAGTTTAAGATTTTGGTGACTTGGGGTCTAAACAAAGTTGGAGAGTTGAAGATACTTACTAGCTTATGTGCTGTCTTCCCTGTTCATTAAATCTCACATTAATCCCACGGCCCATTGAATTCTGCAGAAATTACCACTGCTTTCCCTAGTGCCCGCCATTGATTTACTCCTGTCTCAGCTGTCCTGGCAGGGGTCGGTCAAGACCTTTTAGAGAAGCATAGTAATAAGTGATTCCTTCTATCAGAAGGATATGGGACTAGATTCTAGTTCCCAGGGAAGGCCTGGGGCTTCCTAACTTGTTTTCAATCCCAAAGGAAGTACTTATCCAAACTGTGTAGAGGCAGAAACTATCCAGTCTAAACTCTTGTTCCTGTCCTGGTACTTTCTTTGAATTTCAGTTCAGAGTTCAGCATCTCCTGCTTCCTTAAGTGTATAGTGATATTATAGGAGCAAGAGTGCCTTACTCGGAGTACATACTAGAAGGATATTTGCTACTAATCTGTTCTGTGATAGCTGGCTGTATGGGCAAGTTGGTTGATTTTATTTGCCTCAGTTTCCTCGCTGTAAAGTACAGATTGGACTAGATGACCTCTAAACTGCCTCTGATCTGCACAGCTGAATTCATAGGGCTGACATGAGGGGGCTCTTCACCTGAAACCTAGGCCCTGTTGACGGACGACGGGCGTCTGGAGGCACCCAGCACGTGGAGCTGGGTTTCCCCGGTTTCTGTTGACGGACGACGGGCGCCTGGAGGCGCCCAGCATGTGGAGCTGAGTTTC